ACAAAAGTTCTGATATCAACATTTGTGACGAAAAATTATTACACTCGTCATTAAATAGACTTTCTAATCTTTTCTCATTCGTCACGCTGCAATAGAAAATGCCTGTAAGGGGAAAAAGGCTGGAATAGTTTGCTAGGGCGGGCCGAATGAGAAAATATTAGAAAGTCTATTTAATGACGAGTGTAATAATTTTTCGTCACAAATGTTGATATCAGAACTTTTGTATGTTGAAGGTGCGGTCGTCACTAGTTTTTTACCTCGTTAAGAGGTGTTTTTATTTGATATATTATTACAGTAAGTGGAATTTTCTAGCTTTTGTTCAAGTTAGTATGTGCTTATAAGTGGAAAACTAGTTTTGCAATTGCCAAACAGATTAGGAGAAAATTGCGGAGAATGCATAAATTGTGGTGGGCAATAAAATCTAATGGAATCTGCGCAAACTGAATAATATCAATAAAATTAAAATTAAGACGACGCTTTGCGCAGCTAGAGGGATATGGAAGTAGGCGGACCAAGAGAGAGCCAAAGAAGGATAAGAAGAAGAGGAACTAACAATGGCCGACATCAAAGCAACTTTTAAATGGGTGCAAAAGAGAGAGAGAGAAAGAGAAGGAGCATTATTAGATGACCGAAAATAAAACTAAAGCCCAAGGGAATGTCCAAAAATATTCCTATTGTCATTTGGTTTTGGAGGGCGAGTCCGCCAAAATTAATTGCAAGTGTCGCGTGTTTTTTTTTGTTTTGTCAGCTTTATTCCAATGTCAACGGGACAAGCTTTTGGTGTGCGTGTTATTATCCCTGCCCCTCGAAAATCGGAGAATGCAACTTTTGACATTTCGATGACCTTAACTAACTTACTAACGCCAAACAACAACGATAACAACACTTGCAGTTAATTTGTACTACCCACCCAAGCTCTTTCTATCTATCTCTCTTGCTCACACTCACTTCTGTCCCTTTTCCTTTGGCCTGTAACCTAAATTCATATTACTGTGTTTCAATTCCCATTTTGTGGCCCATGTTTCACATGCCATTTCGTTTCGCAAAAGTGTATTTGCATTTGACTTTGCCATTTTGGCATTTCCTTTTGCCTTTACTGTTATTTCATTCAAACATGGCCGCGTGGGTGTGGCCTTGTTACCCACACAAGTGCGAAATCCTCTCCCACGCACACACACACTCACACCCACACGAGCTAGGAGTCGACTGGAAGCGGTAGGCGGAGCCGTTATTCGTAAAGATTCCTTCGGTTCCTCGCAGAATGAACTCGCTCTGCCTTCCAGCGACAGCTTCCAGTGCTCCCAACAAGCACATATGACTTCCAGCTGTTCATCAGCTGTTCAACTTGACTGGAATTGAGGAGAAGCGGGTATGGTGAAAGCTTTTCTCTGGGAAAAGTGCAGTTTCCGCTCCACCCCCCCGTTAACCATCCCTTTTCACAACTATAAAAAAGTTTTTTGCAATTTGCCGATGATTTAGCATTACTTATTACGAAACAGTTTGTGTGGATTATGGGTAACACTGAAAAAATATTTGAGTTAAATTGAGTTTACAGAAAATAGTTCTGAAGACTTCGCGGATTTTTTTAATAGTCAAGGTAAATAAAAAATAATTATTTAAATACAAAAGTTGACGACAAACTGGTTAAAACTAAAAGAAATTCATAAAATAAAAATCGTTTACGTTTTTTAAAACCACAATATAACAATACAAAGTAATAAAATTACAAGAAGATTTCGAAATACTTAATTTTTTTATTAGTTTATTTCGTGTTAATAAACGCTGAATTCTACAGTTGAACGATTAAAATGTATAGATTGGCTAATACTCAATTTATTTAACTAAATAGTGTCACTTTATTGTGAGCAATTTTCAGAGTGCACTCAAATGGAAATGGAACGGCAAACAATGTTCTAATTATTTTTGAGAAGAACAAAGGACAGAAGCTCAGTGCTGAAATATTGAACATTTTCAGGCTTTGTCTGGTTGTATAAGCCCTCAATTCAATTAACAGTCTGCAGATGACAGACCTCAATCACTCAGATCCCTGGCAATCATTGCAGATGAACAGCGACATTTCACCGGCCGCCGTTTGAAAGAGGCATAAAGTTTTAATGCATATAAATTGGGTATGCCTAAAAGAGGGCCAGACTGTGAAATATTAATGCCGGCATATCACGGAGGGGTTTTACTTCGCCTGAATTGCCACCCAGCCGAGAAAAAAACCAGGTGAGGGCTGACAGGTGAGATGCGGCCGAGATGGTGTTGATATTCCTCACGCCACGGGCTTCAGATTGGGTTTCGGTTTTCAGTCTCGCTTACAGCTCCGGCTTATTGTTCCTGATGTGGGTACGTTGAATGCTCTGGCTCTGGCTCAATGACGTCAGCAATGGACTTGAACCGAAATCCCGCTTCAGCTTCACGAACTTTGACCTATGCTAAATTTGAGCCCAGAGCACTCAAATACCATTTTTTAGATCGCTTGAGGGCGGTTCTTGCAGTCATGTCGCTTTGAATTTATTTGTCAGCTTAATGAAAGGTCATTTGGATTCTACTTCTTCAGTCGGCAATAGTCAGTAGTCAGTACTCAGCCAGACGTCCATATATCTATCTATCTGTCGGTGAGGTTCCTTCTGTCCGCCCGCCGCTGGTAAATTCATCATTTTTGCGACATGTCAATTTGTCACTCACCTGGCCTGACAGCCCATGTATTAGATGTATGTGCGTTTGCATGGCCAGGCTATATACACATATGTTTTCTTATCAGTCAAATCAGTGGAGCCATCAATCAAAGCAGCTAGCTCTGCGGTTTCTAGCTCGGCAGCTGGATTGAGATGGATTGCGATAGATAATTACCAAAGACTGTCAGTGGTGGCCAGAAGACGAGGAAACTAAAAAGTTTTACAGACCCAATTAGTCAAGGTCATAAAAGTTAATCCTTAGTGCAAATTGAAATGTTTGCATAAAACTGAGGGACACTAAAAACTTTGTCCAAGAAACTTTCCATTTTGCTATGGAATATTAATAGGTTTTCCAATTTAATTACATATTTGCATATTCCAATTTTTATGGGGTCGCTAGTGAGAAGTAAAAAAATCGATTTTACACTCCAAAAATTTGTTTCTACAACAAAGTTGTTTCAAAAAAAACAAATTTAATTATTCCTGACTTAATAAATTTTTAATTTATATTTCTGATTTTTAAAAGTTACTTTTTTTAAGATCAAGTCTTTCTCTAAGTGTAATATAGAATTTTTATGCTATTAATCCAATCTTTTATTGATCTGTCATTAAAAATGATTTTGTCATTAATGTGTATTTATTTATTAGCTGAAAACAAAGACGTGAAAATTGGTTCAATGTCGGAGTTTATTTCTCGATGAGTGTTTGCCTTATTTGCACAACTCTGCAAAGATGCATGAAGATACCCGTAAATACATAATGGGAATAATTATAGATGTCGTTTTTCGATGTAATTGCTGGCCAAGTGCGACTCAGCACTCGAGATTGGAGCGCCAAAAGCAAAACCAGCGGCTGCAGCTCATCTTAACCCAGAAAAGTGGCGACATCTGATAAAGATGAGCCCACATTACTATATTGTATTGGCAAATGAGGCAACTAATGCCAGTGCTTTGTTTTCATGCCCCAATAGGGGTACGAGTATCTAGTTGGCATCGCCATTACCATTGCCATTGCCATTACCATTACCTTTGTTGTTTTGCTATTGCCAATGGATAGGGGGTTGGGACTGGGAATGGGAATCGAGTCTTATCTGCATGCAGATAATGGAGCTTCTTCGAATTGTCAAGGCCGCCGCGTTGACTTTCTTCAATAGCGGGCCTGAGATCTTTTGGGTAAGGTGAATGCCGAGGCACCTCCATCTACTCCAGCACATCCGAATTCATTATGTGATGCCATCATCGATGGGCACTTTAACTGCCGTGGGGCATCCACAACGAGCCCACAACGTACCGAATGAACACTTGAGCCCAACGGCCAGCCATCGACTATAAAAACTGCGTGTTTGCATTGCGGCAATGATTTCTAACTAAATTTATTGAAGTACTTTTCACTTTTAATGCGAGCGCCTGGTGTGTTTCTCCTCGCCACGCTTTGATATTTATGACTTTTACCAAAATATGTGAGCTCCAATTTTTATACACATATTTTGTTAAGCTCCAAATTGGAGCACTAGCACTACTGAAGTGCGTCTTTGGCTCTATTTTTTCCCCTTTTCGTATTTTGAATGATTTTTTGGATTGCAGAGTCGGCGACTCAGACTCGGGCACAATACGAGTTGATTGATTGTGGTAGCAGCACAGCGGCAACAGCTTTGATTGCCAATCGAAGAGGTGTTAGATAACATTACAAGCGCAACAGACACGCACTGCCTAATTATCGTTTATCAGACGTATCTCATATTCCGTATAGTTTGCCTCCCCGTGACATCATGAAGGCCCATGGCCCATGAGCCCATCAACCCAGGGCCCCTGGGAACCGTGTGTGTATATCTATGCTTTGGTTAATTAAAAGTTCTGCTTCATCGAGCTTTGCGCTTCAGCTTCAGACTCAGGTGGGGACTGGAGCTCAAGTTCAGGTCCAAGGCAGCATCATTACAGTGAAAACAGGCAAGCCACAACCAGCAATTGCCGTGTTATACAATAGACTTACGATGTGGTGACTTTGAGTTTCGGATGGTTAGACTGTCATGGAATTTTTTGGGATTTGTGGGGAATACAGTATCCAATCAGTGGCTTGGATTATACTTTCCGTTTTTATATCATTACCTTTTAAATTTTTTTTTAAAATAATTAAGTTTTGTGTGTAGTTTTAAAAAGATAATAAATACAACATTAAATTAGAAAATGTAACTTTTGAATTGCTATGATTTAGACTAATGGGTTATTGGAAAAAATGTACCTATAGTACGTTTTAAAATATTTAAAATATCATTAAAAGTAGAATTAATTTCCGAATTCCTTCCAAGTTACTCATAAGGCCTTTTCACTGTACTGCCCAAAGTTGGGACACATAATTAATTTATTTGCACCACCAAATGACCCCACCCATCCTGACCCGGCCGTAAATCCAATCGAATCCAATCAAAAGTTGGCCGCAGAAAAGAAACATAAACGGCTTAGACTTTCTGCACATCTCGGAGGAGAGTTGGCTGTTTATTTGGTGTAGGGCTCAACCCACTTCCACTCCTCCCAGACGACGCACGCCTGCTGCTGCTCCATGAAGGCGTAGTTGTCGGGGCACTGGATGTAGTCGGCCCTCTCCTGACCTTCGGGACAGACCCAGTAGTGGGTGGGGTCGGAGATGTCGCGGAACTTGCGGCCGTGATCCTCGACGATGGCGCAGTTGGGCTCGGCGTAGATGTCCTGGCCGTTGTAGGCGGAGCTGAGGGCCAGGAAGAGGCCCAGAAGCAGGCAGCAGATCAGGGTGCCTAGGAATAAGATAGAATAGATGGGAGAGGAATAGAATGAGAAGTTCTCGGTTCGGTGGCTGATTGGTGGGTGATGTGATGCCTCACCCTTGTACATGATGAAAGTGTTGCAATCGATGGCCGCCAATTGGCATATTTATAGTAGTGCCGAATTTCCCTTATCGCATTCGGCACTTGTTGCCCCGACATTGGCTTGCTGCACAAGCAAAATCACTTAGTCCAAATGAGTTTGAATTTATTTTTAGCTTTTTAGCCCGCCTGCGGATGTCGCCCTGAATGTTTGTCTAAACATTGGCAATCATAACGAGCCGCATTTCACTTGGTCGCATTAATTGGATTTGGCCCAGAGCCCGAGCGTGTCGGCTTAATCGATAATTAGCCGCTGCACTGCGCTGCCACCACATCATACAGTATCTTGGCCAACCTGAAATAATCAGACAGCTTAACACATGCGATGCGATACGGCAGCGTCATCTTGTCTCCCAAAAGCCAACTGAAAAAAACAGTCACCCGCTGGGGAGTTGCAACCGCTGATTGGCCACCACTACCTCATCCTCCTCCCCTTTCCATCTCCGATTTAACCACCTCTCAACGCGGAAACTGTAATTACATTTTAAATCATTTTGTAAGCGATTTTCAGGGTTTTCGGCTACGACCCACTCCGGCTGCTAAACGGTTTTTAGTTTTCAGTTTTTTAACCGGCACATTTCGTGAGGTTTTTTGCCATATTTTATTTTTGCTGCCTCTTGCTATATTTATATTGGTCAAGTGGCGCCCGAAGCTCTGCGATACCAAAGCCAAACAAAGGCAACAAAGAAACAAACAGTTAACATAAATGCAAAATACTTTGGCAAAATGACAAAACAAAAAAAAACAAAAAAATGATAGTCAGCAATTAATTAATGAATGGAACGATAGTCTTTAATGTTGCACAATTTAAACGGATTCAGATTTCAGCATTTGTTTTATGAATTATGGAAATATCCGATTATGGATTTGCCATGCCAGCTGGGTTTACACTTGACAAAGTGTCAACAAATAGTCATGGTTATTATGTTGGATGACTGTTGACTTGGTACATTTAGATTTGTTTTGTGTTAATTGGGGGAGATTTCCATGCGTGATGGTTCTGCAAATGAATGAATCAAATTTACAGACATTAAGAGGATAAATAATTTGTGCAGGAAAAATATTTACAATATTTATACAAATATTGGATAACTTTTTATTGAAACCAGAGAATAAACTATTTGTTATTTAAGCTAAAATTTATCATTATAAAATGTTGGGCTGCTACAAGAAGAATCCATTAGAAATGCACTTGGCTCTTATCTGCTGATGTTGCATTAAATAAAGTTTCTCTATATATTTGCTATCTTTGGGGTCCAAATTATTTGGCATATACCCTCCCCATCTTGATAAAGACGCCGTTCCCTCGCACTTTTCGCTCTGCTCCCTTGATAATAATCAACGGATGCGACGCGCGTGTGTCAAAATGTCAATACTTTTATTATTCTTGTTTTCACATTTTTTTTTCGGCACTCTTCCCCCATCGAAAGTATAAAAGTTCCATCCCCGAAACGTGGAGGTCTCAGTTGGTTCCTTCTACCGAGAAACTTTCACAGCTGAAAAAATGAAGTCTGGTGGGTGTAAGGTTGAATTTTAATGTTATTTTCCTATCGATTACTTATTGTCACATCAATTTTCTTCGCCAGTCGTTGCTCTGAGTGCCATCTTCTTGGCCGCTTTCCTGGTGGCGGGTGTGAGTGCCGATGCCGGTCGCTCCGCCTGCAAGGATGAGTCGGAGATTGGCCAGACCTACACGCACCACTTCGATGCCGCCAAGTACTGGCTGTGCGAGACCCTCGGGACTCCGGCCACCGAGGTGGACTGCCCCAAGGGACTGGCCTACATGCACCTGCTCAAGGAGTGCATCCCCTGGGCCAGCTACATCTGGAAGAAGCCCGAGATGCCACCAACTGTGGCCTAAAATAAATGACCCAGCCCTACAACGTTGACAACTGCAATATGATTTGGTTATTGATTGATTGGGCACGGTGCTGTTTTAAATAGTAATGGTCTGGGTAGTGAAACACTCTCCGAAAAAATGTAGGTATATCTAGCTGTTTGTAATAGGAGCTTTAATATGGGAAGGCTACTTTTTATTTTTTTTTTTGTTCAAAAAGGGAGTTTTTGATTGGTATAGTTTAGTTTGTATTACTTTTGAACCACAGAAAGCAAATAAGTTGTTTTTTTAAGGCATGCACGGATAACTTTATTTCTGCAGGGAAATTTTCATATCGAAAATTGATGTTATCATTATAAGTAAACATTTTTATACCCGTTACTCATAGAGTAAAAGGGTATATTGTATTCGTGCAAAAGTATGTAACAGGAGAAACTATAAAACTATAAAACTATAAAAGCTGGAAGATTGGCATTTTGCATTCAGATTGTAGGAGCTCCTACGGTTTACTACAATTTACTACGGTTTACTATGGTTTACTACGATTTACTACGATTTACTACGATTTACTACTGTTTACTACGGTTTACTACGATTTACTACGACTTACTACGGTTTACTACGATATACTACGTTTTGCTACGACTTACTACGATTTACTACTATTTACTACGGTTTACTACGGTTTACTACGATTTACTACGACTTACTGCGGTTTACTACGATTTACTACGGTTTACTACGGTTTGCTACGGTTGACTACGATTTACTACGGTTTACTACGATTTACTACGATTTACTACGATTTACTACAATTTACTACGATTTACTACGGTTTGTAGAATAGAACTTTTATTTTTTCCAATTTTGAATTCTTTATTACTTAATTGTTAGGAAATAACCAGGATTGTTTTTAATAACCAAAAGCTAGAAGTTTGAGATTATCCACACATATTCTTGGACTTCTTTGGGCGCCACGCCCCCTCTTACACCCACAATCGCTCACTAACGATTTTAAAATGTGTCTGGCGCCCACACCTTTAAAAATTTCCGAAAAGTATAAATGCAATTTTGTAGAAGAAATGTAGAAGACATTTTTCAAATCGGACCATTCATTAAAAAGTTATGCGCAATCAAAAAAATTTTATATTTCCATCTTCCTTGCACTCCCTTTAGCTGAGTTACGATTATGATTTGATTTTAAAAAGTGTTCTAACAAATACGAATTCGTTTTGAATACGTCTATATATTCCGTTCAATGCTGGGAAACTTTTACATTACGGTTTACTACAATTTACTACGATTTACTACGATTTACTACGGTTTACTACGGCTAACTACGATTTACTACGATGTACTACGGTTTACTACGATTTACTACGGTTTACTACGATTTAATACGACTTACTACGGTTTACTACGATTTAATACGATTACTACGGTTTATAGCGTTCTCTCTTGTTATTTTAGTAGAGTTGTTATGCTTTTTTTTAATTATGATTTATGCTTTATTCATTACACCTTCGCTGCGGTGCCTTTTCTTACACCATTTTTGGGGAGTATTTTTAATTATATTTTTAATTTATTTTTAAGAACTTGTTTACAATCGTTAAAAGAATTTAACAGTAGTTCGCATCTCAACTTGCCATTTAAGACACAAAACACCGCCATTTAATAGACCAATTTAGCAGGCACTTTATGCAGAAGGAAAAAGCGATGACAGATGTTGCCACTGAACTTGGCACCCGATCAATGTGGATTTATCAGTGCAAAAACAAATGCTAAAAGCTTGTCGATCGCTTGAGTCTCTGCCTTTGTTATTTTTTTGTTGTTGCTTTTTTCTGTTTCACTGTGGCAGATGCGCAGCTTTGGCGGCAAAGTCGCGCATGCGCCGTGCTTGCTGCCTTGCTGGTGGTTTCTGTGGCTTTAACTCCGACTTCGGCTTGTGAGTGCATTTGAAGTGTTACATAAAGTACCAAACTCGAAGACATGCCGCTGCCAGCGTCTTCTTCTCATTGTGTTTGGCTTGGAGCTTTTGATTTTCGTCTGTCCGCATTGTTATTGTTTTTTTTTTCTTTTAATTTTTTCGTTTTATTTTTTTTTGTTTCGTTTGTGTCTTTATTTTTGCGGCTTTGCCTGGTTATGATTTTTGTATAAAAGTGCATGCTGCGCATCAGGCAGCAGTGTAGTTCGCATTCGTCCATCGGCAGAGCATCGTCTGCAAAGTGCCCCCCAAAAATATCAAAGAAGCAGCTGGTGCCCACGAAAACGGTTAGTGCTGAATAAAGGATAACTCATTTGATAATATATCACAAGTCATCGTCATCGTAAATAACCAAAAGTGACAAGGTCTTTAAACAGGATTAATTCGAATCGTGATTTATAAAAAAAAAATGAGTTTTCTTTTTCCCGAAATTTGTTCAATCAATTACTTTCAATTGTAACTTTCTTAAGTGCTATAGTAAATCATTAGTAATTGTTTAAAAATCCTATTTATCATAGTGCTGCCGAATTCTGTATCATAACATATCCTATCCTTATTCAGAAGTTATAAGTAGAAGAAAAATAGATTTCAATAATTTTAAAACCAAGTGCAATGTGACTTGTTTAATAAGGATTAATTAACCAACAAGCAAGTGAAAGATGTACTTCATTACGATTTTTGCTAGTCTAAAATTGGTAACAAATATTTATAAATAATTTTAAAAAATTTACTTAAATTTGGTAAAGAGAATCAGAGCGGAATTAATCGAAAGAATTCTGAATTCTTGGCCCTGTAACCCGTAAAAATTCTTGCATAATCAGCATGTCAAATTAGGAGTTGCCTCACATTCAGCGGGTCATCTAGTCACCCAGTAACTTGTGTTTGGAAAATAATTAAAGATTTGTCGCAACCACTAAACAAGCGTCGCGAGCCAAACAATAAAGCAAAGTGCTGAAAAGCCAACAAGACGCAACGGGACAAGAAGTCAAGACTGCAATACGCCAAGTGTGTGGCCAAAACGGCGAGACAGTAATTGGCAGCAGTAGCTGGAGTTGGAGGGAAATATGTGTCACTCAACAGCCGAAAGAAAAGCCAACATGCAAGGCAGCTGGGGGTGTAATGGTTATGGCTTACGACTGATGATGGTGGCGCTGAGAAATTGCCAACTGTCGTGGCTGATTTTGCAATGTCATAAAAGCTATATGGCTTTGTGCCGCCGTCGATCACGCCCACACACTTATAGTACAGCTAGGGCCCTTTTTATTCAATTTCCTACCAAAAGAAAGGCACCAGAGTTTCACTCTGCTCCGGATGGGACTAAGCCAAGCTGCGATTGCAGTGGCTTTTGTCTGCAGCCGTGATTTTCCAAAAAACCAAATTAAATGGTTGTGAAGTACTGGGAGTACAGCTTCAATTTCAGTTTAAGTTTCAATGCCGGGCGACACGCTCCGTCTGCTGGCCAGTTCTTGGCATTGGCCGACGGACCGAGCCAAGATTGACGAGCGATTAAGTCCGCCAACTCTCTCGGTCGGTCATCTGGGTGCCCGTAAAAACTTACGCAACATTAACGTAATCTTTCTATAACTATCTTTTTGTTTTCGCCAGTATTCCACTTTCAACTGCCTTTATCTAATGCCCCGCTTTTTCTCCCGCTTTGCAGTTCGGTTAATTTGCATTCGAAGCGCATCGAGCTCATATCCCCGGGAGAAGCAGCAGCAGCCATGCGAGTGGTAAGTACACTGAAATAAAATAAATTATATTTGAGGAGAGATCAGTTTTTTATTTAATAAGTCCCGAGCTATCATTACAATTTGTTTGTTTTACCAATATTTAGCCAAAATCGACTTTATTTTAGTAACAGAAATTTAGCATTGAAAAATACACTGCCCCGAATTGTCGGACTTTTGCATTTAGAAATATATATATTTTTTTAATTAGATTTACAAGGCCTTACACATGATTTGCCCGACTTAAAAAGAGTTGCAGAGTTGAGTTTCATAATTATATATCTTTGCTTAGAGTTATTCAATTTATAACCATAAATTGTTGTGATCAATTATTAAAATAGTTCTTTGTAACTTTCTCCCAGTGCAAAGCCAAAGAGATCCCATCAAAATTGATCATCGATCGATGCGTCATGAAAAAAGCTAATTTACTAATTTCCTCGTTTTTGCAGCAGCTTTTCGGTGTCATCGCCGTGGCCATCGTGGCCGTTTCAGTGGTCCGCGATGTTGGAGCTGAGCCGCCGGTGAACAACGCCTACTTGCCGCCCAGTTCGCCCCAGCGCCCCTCCTCCAAGTATGGTGCCCCGCCCGCCAGCTCCTACCTGCCACCCGCCTCCGGACCAGCGCCATCGTTCAACTCCGGTCCGTCCAGCAGCTATGCGGCTCCATCGCTGAGCGCCTCCTCGGGTGGCCCATATCCAGCACCAGCTCCTCGCCCCTCCAGCTCCTACGGACCGCCTGCCTCCCGTCCCTCGTCCAGCTATGGTCCTCCGCCCAGTCGGCCGAGCCAGTCGTACGGACCACCGCCGCAGGCCAAGAAACCTCACCACCGTCGCCCGTCCTCCAGCTATGGAGCTCCCAGGCCCGCTCCGCCCTCGCAGAGCTATGGTGCCCCACCCTCTTCTAGCTACGGACCCCCCAAGTCGGCGCCTCCTTCCCAAAGTTACGGTGCCCCAGCTCCACCTTCCAGCAAATACGGACCACCCAAGTCGGCACCTTCCTCAAGCTACGGAGCTCCGAGACCAGCTCCTCCATCATCGTCTTATGGAGCACCTGCACCCCCATCATCGTCTTATGGAGCTCCTGCCGCGCCTTCCTCATCTTACGGAGCCCCAGCACCGCCATCCAAGTCTTACGGAGCTCCAGCTCCTCCATCTTCCTCCTATGGAGCACCAGCTCCTCCCTCTTCCTCCTATGGAGCTCCTGCTCCTCCATCTTCATCTTATGGAGCACCAGCTCCTCCTTCTTCATCTTATGGAGCACCTGCACCTCCCTCTTCATCCTATGGAGCACCAGCTCCTCCTTCTTCATCTTATGGAGCACCAGCACCACCATCCAAATCTTATGGAGCTCCTGCTCCTCCCTCTTCATCCTATGGAGCACCAGCGCCGCCATCGAAATCCTATGGAGCTCCAGCACCACCATCTTCTTATGGAGCACCTGCACCTCCATCCTCCTCCTATGGAGCACCTGCACCTGCGCCCTCCTCCTCCTACGGACCACCCAAATCTGCGCCCGCACCACCCTCCTCCAGCTATGGAGCACCACCTCAGGCTCCCACCAGCAACTACCTGCCACCCGCATCGCGTCCATCGAAGCCCTCGCCCAATTATGGAGCACCCAGTGTGAGCAGCTTTGTGCCCTCGGCCTCAGCTCCATCGACCAACTACGGAGCTCCATCGAAGACCCAGAGCCTGGGCAGCAGTGGCTACACATCCGGACCTTCTTCGTCTTATGATGCCCCCGTGGCACCGCCATCGTCCTCCTACGGAGCTCCCTCCTCCTCGTTCCAGCCCATCTCACCGCCCTCCTCGAGCTACGGAGCTCCCAGCAGCGGATCGGGTTCAAGCAGCGGAAGCTTCTCATCCTCTTCTAGTGGTGGATCCTTCCACTCGGCTCCATCTAGCTCCTACTCGGCTCCCAGTCCGAGTGCCAACAGCGGTGGATCGTATCCCTCGGCACCCTCGTCATCCTACTCTGCCCCCAGCTCGAGCTCAAACAGTGGTGGACCCTATGCCGCTGCTCCCTCTTCCTCCTACTCGTCACCTAGCTCTGGATCGAATAGTGGTGGACCCTACCCAGCTGCTCCATCGTCCTCTTACTCAGCTCCCAGTGCCTCTGCCAATAGTGGAGGATCCTATCCCTCGGCTCCTTCCTCATCTTACTCGGCACCCAGCTCGGGATCGAACAGTGGAGGACCCTATCCTGCATCGCCTTCATCCTCCTACTCGGCACCAAGTCAAGGAGCCAACAGCGGAGGACCTTACCCATCGGCTCCCTCATCCTCGTACTCTGCACCCAGCAGCAGTTCCAACTCCGGTGGACCCTATCCAGCTGCTCCTTCATCATCGTACTCGGCTCCATCTTCCAGTTCGAACAGTGGAGGACCTTACCCATCGGCTCCTTCCTCGTCTTACTCCGCACCCAGCCCAAATTCCAATAGTGGAGGACCCTACCCGGCTACACCATCTTCATCGTACGGAGCACCTGCCTCTCCACCTTCTTCATCATACGGAGCACCTGCCTCAGGACCTTCCGCCTCGTTCAGCGCTCCCTCCTCCTCGTACGGAGCTCCCTCCACCGGATCGGGTGCTAGCTCATTCTCGTCCAGCCATCAGTCATCTTCGGGCTCCTCATCCTTCAGTGCCTCCTCCTCGGGCTCCAGCTATCCCTCGGCTCCGTCCAGCTCCTATGGAGCTCCATCGGCTGGCTCCTCTCTGAACTTCCCCAGCGGTCCCTCGTCCAGCTACAGTGCTCCCCCAGCCGGCGGATCCTCCAGCTCGGGACCTTACCCCAGTGCTCCGTCGCAGGACTCTGGCTACGAGTACAATGCACCCAGCCAGGTGCCCGAGACTATTCAGCAGGGTTACAGTGCCGACGGTGGCTACACTTACCGCAAGAAGTAAACAGCCACTGCATTGCGCATACGCCACGTGCCTTCGAATACTCAACAAAACACCATCATCATGTCATCGCCGTCGCCATTCAATCACAATTGTAAATTATTCCCCAGAAGGACAATCAATTCGTCCATTTCGTCTTCTTTCTCTCCCATGGAACTCTAGCCGTAATTCATTGTACCATTAGATTTAAAACACGAAACGTTTGTTAAATAAACAACTTGATGAATATCATAGAAGATCGTGGAAGCCATCAGTTCTGGGCGATCGGTTCCCTTCACATCCGCGCTATCAGCGACATTTGCGGAATTCTTCCGTTCGGCTAATTGACAGCCAAGTAGCAGAAGACAAGACAACGGCGAAGATGTAAGACCCAAAGACAGTTGAAGGTTCGAAATCGGCTAACAATGCAAATTTGTAGCGAAAATACCGGATATATCTGATAGCTGCTACAACATCCACGGCAACCAAGGGGCCACAATTAGGGGGCAATTCTTGAGCGACACAAGTTATGAGCTTATGACGGAGGCTTGCGATTCGAATCTAATTGAGATTACAACTTAATTGCATAATTAGCATGCTAATTGAGATCGGTTGAGGGGCTAGAAGATTGGCAGCTGTCTGACTTGGGCAAACCGACTTTTAACCGACTGACTTTCGACTAAATAAAATAAGTAACTGTCGCATAGTTGCCACATGTGAATCCCAAAAATGCATTGTCTTTGCCCAAAAAATCCGATGAGATGCGACACCGACTGGAGAGCTCTTTGCTCTTTAAGTTGCCCTGAGAAATTTCCACCTGCGATAATACAATTCTATTGTCTTCGGATCGTCACTTGGCGGCTTTTGTTGGTTCGTAATGCTTGCATTTATTTCACAAGCCAGTCAGTCAGTCGGTTAGTCAGTTAGTTAGTCAGTTACTAAAATAAGTACTGAGAAATAGAATAAATAACTAGACAGCGGTTTGTGCGGCAACAGAGAAACCATTTCAATATAGATATATATACCTTTTATTTATTAAATACTTTTTTCGTTTCTTTTTGCTTGGGTTTTAATCCATTTCGCTATGCTTAAAACATTGATATGTATTCGGTTTAATTTGATCTTAATACATCATGTATATCGTAACCCTTCGTTCTATTTCGCTTTGGTTTTCTCTTTGATTGGTTTACATAATGCCACTAAGGGAACTTGGAATGGGTAGACCAAGTTTGGTTAACAATAACAGAAATATATATTTTAACTAATTGCCAAACAGAATTGTTTCGACCAAGATTTTAACCAAGCGAAGTCATCGCATTTGAATGCATAAATTATTTGGTGGTTTTGGTTTAGTTGATAGTAACTTTACAAACGATTCGAGTAATTTGCTTATTTACAAACCTGGTTAACTGCACAAAGAAACGTGAAACATGAAATACAAACACACTTAATTATTTATGTAGGATCTCTGGAAATTCAGTTAAACTCCTTAGCTAAAACGGATTCAAACTCTATCGAAATTTACACACTCAGATCTGATGCAAGAGATAATAACAATAACAACGAACAGATATCAGATATGTATGTTTGTATCATATGGTAGGTATCCTAAATGGACTCAAACACTTCTTAGTTTCACTTATGTAAACGTTAAAAAACTTTACCCCAATACAACAAACATCGAGGCTCAATCAAAAAGCAGTCAACATTTATTACAATTAAGTGAGTTGTATGTATTTAGTAATGGTATTTTTAGGGCTCAAAAACCTTATCAAGTTAGTTACGCATATTCGTTTCTTGCGTTGACTTTAGTTAGATTTCGATTTCGATTTAGTTTAAAATTCAGATTAGTTCTTTCCAACGGGACGAAAGAGTAACAAACGAGCCGAGTGAATTTCAAAAAGAGGAACCTACGCACATCTCTTGAATAAATATTCAATTGGGTTAATTTTTTAGGTTTACTTTGAGATCAAAAGTCGAGGTTTGGGGTTCAGGCAGCGTGTGTTTATATAGAATAGAATCTCCCTAGCCAATGCTTCTTATGCAGGTTTTATTGGGTCAATGTCGTGGGTGTTTTTCCTTGGGTTTAACTCTCTAAGTGGCTGGTTTCTAGATATGTATATATATGCTCGTGTATATGATTTTGTATAGGTATATATTTAGGTACTACGACGCAACATGTTACATATAGTATGTATAATTGTTTCATCTTTGTATGCTTTCCTGTGTATGATCTGCCATATACTTTGTGGTTTTGCTCTTTGAGAGCAGCTAAAATTCATTCCTATATAACTCGATATGCCTCGTTTTCGGTCACTTACACGACTACTTTGTTTGCACATTTTATTGGGTATTGGTATAGTTGATCTAGGTATGTATATCTCGATTCTCCTCTAAAGCTTACAAACAACAGTTTCACGAGTGATATGTATATTGATATATACTTCCTTTCCCTTCCGCTTGTTTTGATATGTTTCGTTTGCATTAGTTTGTGGATAGTTTTGCTTAGCTTTGTTCGTTCTGGAAGGACACATGATTCACATTATATGCACGATGCATCTAAATAGTATATGATCGATATGCTAATGCCAGGAATGCCGATTCGTATTGCTTACGTGGCGTAAACATCTCTCAAATGCTCGACTCAATGGTTATACATACATGTACTTATAATTTAGCCTCTTTTCCGGCCTAACTCTTCAGGGTTAATACGTAGTATTCTTGTTAATTTTTTGCAATTCTCGGGCCAGGAAAAATGCAGTTGATATGTATTCGGTTAATCGATTTCTGCACTTCTGATACCGTTTTGAACATTTACACATAGATTCTCTAACATCAAAATGAATACCGATAGAACGCTTTAAGCTTGTAGAAACTATACACAATAAGTTGGCTAAATGAAAATGTAAACTTTACGATCAGCTTTCTGCACTTTTTACCTGAGCACTTGTGTGTTTAACGTACGTTTTTCCTAATACTTTCTGTACTCCGTTTCCCACCTTCTGACGACCCAACAGCCCCCCATTTGAATCCCCCTAACAAGCGCAACTTAAAATCGGATAATTCACTGCTCCGGACTGCAGCCTACTTTCGGGCCTATGGGACTTTCTACTCCGCTCAGAAGGCCGTATTATCCTGCTCCGCGGTGGGCATGGCCATCCCGCTCTGGCTCATCTGGCCACCTCCTCCGCCGGCGGGCTTCACCCCGGTGGCCGTGTCCAGCATCTTCTTGACCTGCGCCTGCGCCGTCTCCTGGTTGATGCGTCTGGCCTCCGCCACCGGCAGATCGTCGTCCGATTCCAGGGCGGGATTGATGCGGCCGTTTCGCTCATCCTTCCCAGCCATGGTGGCAGCGCCGTAGGATCGGGCCAGTGGTCCAGCCATCACCGATAGCTGCTCTCCCGACTCCGAGGGATCGCCCACGCGTTGCACGTCCTCCGGAATGTTGACCACGCAGCGGAAGTAGTCGTAGCTGGGCGGCAACTTTCCGGACTCGAACATCATTCTGTAAGAGTGTTAGGGAAAGATGAGGTGAGTTACTATTAACTCTAATATTTCTAAATTATACTACAAGTCCTAGAAAGAGAATTTTTCACATAAAACTTGGATTACAAAAAGTATTTTTTTAAATATTGGCCAAAGAATATTATAGACACACAAAAACAAATGGATATTTAAGTGAAATATTCCTATTTAATATTAAATATTAATTATTAAAATAAAGTGTAAACTAATATTTAATATATTTTTTTAAATTATATAAGAAATCATAAAAACAAAAATTTCCCTTAAAATGTGAATTACATGATTCATTCTTTAAAATAGTGGTCAAAGAAATAAATTAATATTTACAAAATATATTAAATTTTCATGAAAGCAAATTAAAGTTTTAAATTTGCCTATTAATATTACAAATTCATATACTAAGCAATAAATTTAACAAATTTACTACGGTTTTTTTTATAACTCCAAGTTTTATCTATCTCTGTTTGTACACCTTCTGATCATCTATTAAATCTTTAAGTTCCTGACGAATTATACTTACTTAGTCCACCAGGAGACCGAGACCAGTGTGATCAGGCTGAGCAACATGGCCATGGTGCGGAAGGGGAACATCTGCTCCTTGGTCTCTTCGTCGTAGCCGGGATACTTGATCAACGGAGCCAGTCCCAGGATGGCCTCGCCGCCCGACAGACGGATGGCCAGGGCCACAATGTACGCCGATAGACTGCCGTATGTGTTGCAGTGCTTCTTGAAGTGCACCACCATCAGCAGCTGCGGGAACAGGATGACGTAGACCAGATCCGAGCACATGGACCTGTCCGGAAAGAAGACATAAGCAGGGTACTTAGGCAAATGAGCTGCCAGTCAGGTAAATAATGCATCTTCTCACGCACCACAAGCCGTAAATGGAGGGAATGGTGAGGGCCATAATTGTGGCCAGGATGCCCACGACAATGATGGCAACGCGCATCACCCAAATGATTTCCATCTCGGACGCCTTCTGACGGAAAATCAATTTGTACACATTCCGGGCGAACATGGAGGCGGCGGAGAGCACTGAGGAGTCGGCGGAGGACATCACGGCGGCGGAAACGGCTCCCAGCCCAAAGAAGGACACGAAATCGGGCGTGAGGTACTGCAGCACCATGGGCAGAATCATGCTCGTCTCGTCCACGGTGAGGGGATAGGGTCCCTTGTAATCCGTCTCGTTCCAAGCTGTCAAAAGGAAGAGGGACATTAGTCAAAGGTTCTGTTATATGAACGATAAATATCTATCCAGCTATTTATTATAATCTGAAGAGATTAAAATAGAGATTCAAATAGACCAGATAAATGTATCATATTATTTTAATATTTTCTATATTAATAAATATTTAATAAATTGATAGTTTTTGAAAGTTCCTACACTTCAAGAATATTTATAAATTAAACTTAAAAAATAAATAAAATATTATATTTTATTTTTTTATTTATTTATTTTTTAATTTTAATATATAAATATTCTTAAAGGGTAGGAACATTCCAAAACTATCAATTTATTAAATATTTTTATTTATTTATTTAAAATAAATTTATTTATTTTTCAAACTATTTTTTCCTGCGCTTTAAAAATACTCTAGTTTCTTAGTCAGTAATATCTATATTACATTTCGGTGTCTAAGACTCACGTGTGGCCTTGGCAATAGCTCCGATGAGCACTGGAGGAATGGCCATCAGGATGCAGCCGGCGGCGGCCACATAGGACAGCAGCTGAGCCCTTCCTGCCGTCTTGCTGGAGAGCACCCGCTGGAAGTAGACCTGCCAGGGAATGCCCCCAAAGACGAGCAGCAAACCGTAGTCTATGTAAAGCCAATGCTTTTTAGGCTCCACGTGCCCAATCCAATCCACCTCCAGGTCACTCAGGCTGCCCACGTGCTCGTTGCTCCAGGCAAAGGGAATGCACATCCACAGGCCGATGAAGATGCAGAACAACTGGATCACATCCGTGTACGCCACGGAGTAGAGTCCTCCGAAGAGCGTATAGAAGATGGCGATGCAAGAGGACAGGATCACCGAGGTGCGATGGTCCATGTCGATGATCACCGACAGAGTGGCGCCCAAGGCGGCCAGGATGCCAGCGGCCCAGAAAACCTCGCCACAGAGAGCGGGCAGGAAGAGCAGGCCGCCCATTCGCTCACCAAAGGAATCCTGCAGGGGGTCCAACATGGTGATGTATCCCTGCTTACGCATCGGATTGGCAAAGAAGATGCCTCCTAAGAAGATATAGGAAAAAACAATTAAGATAAAAATATAAAACCAGGAAAATTCGATATATTGCAATATATTGTTTAAAAGATTTTAAAGCTTAAAAAATTAAAAAAAAAAGGATACAAGCTATAATTAGTGGTAATGCCGAAGAATGGATACGGTTTTTATGGAGAATATATAAGTGTCTATGAAACTCTGTTTAATTTTTCGCTTTAAAAGTTTACTAAATTATTTATTTGAATATTTCCGTCTTTTTATTCTTTAATGGAAAGTTTATGATATATGGAAATTTCATTATTTAATCGATCCAATAATAAAAGTCTTTCAATATATTTGAATATATTTATATTAAATAATATCATTTATAATATATTTATATTAAATATATTTATTTGATGTATATCAGTAATAATATCAGTGGAGTTCACTTACCGAATACCAAACTCAGAGCGTATCCAAATGGAGCCTGGCACCACACGAGACCCGATGTGTAGATGGCCTCGGCCGTACCGTTGATGTAGCCACCGCCCACCCAGGTGGCTGTCATGGTGAAGATGCCCACGAACAGGCCGATGGAGCGACCGGCCAGCATCACCTCCTCCTCGGAATCATTTCCGGACTGCTTCTTGCGACCCGCCCAGATGCCCACCACCAGGATCAGGAGGTAGAACATCACGATGCTCACCACGCCAGCGATATTGATCATGTTTGCAGTTTTTGAGGTGTGTCCTTGGCTTCAAAAATCACGACTCTCCACTCGCTATTGTAAGCTAATACTCTCGAAAGAGGGTTTGAGGTTGACCTTTAGCTGAAATGGAATACAAGGTTCGAGGGGGAAAAAATGAGTTACAACCTTGAGCATAATGGTTAATATCGCTGCCCGCCGCCTGCAGGAGCTCATTTTTCAATTAACTGGCAACAGCACGAAGCATTAAATATTAAGCCAATGCATTGGCCATGGCCGTCGGTGCGCCTGACCTTTGTCCGCAAGGATATAATTGGAGTTGGCCCCCTCTCACTCCCACTCCCGCCCCCCTTTATCCCGCCCACTTATGACAAAATGCGTCCTTGCTAATGGCGCGCAATTAACTAGCTATTGCATTGAGTTTGACCTCTACGGGGATAATCATTTCAGCACTCGTCTAATAATAATCACTATAAAGGTTAGACAATATCTATAGGTCTTGATATCTTTTAATAAATGTCATATAAAATACAAATAATAAAAATGTAGGTTTCTTATAAAATAATAGAGTTACGAAAGTTAAAAAAGTTTTCATATTTTAAAAAGTTCTTAAGAGATGTTTTAGGAAAGAGTTAACAAAAAAAACTTTGTTTCTTAGACATTTTCTTGTAATAATTGCAGGGCTTTTAGTTCCAAGCTAATTTCAGCCATACTTAAGAACGTTTAAGTGTGCGGAAATTAATTCCGATTGTAAGGCTCACGCACATTTCATGCTTATATAACAGACCGAGTTCAGGGAGTGAGATAGTCGGGATTGCGACTTATGTAAAATACATAAACAATTCAGAGCGCCTCGTGTGGGGAGTCAAGTACGTCATAGCCACGACAAACAAGCGGCCACCTGGAGAACACCTCAATACCATATACCACATGCCACAAAACCCGCAAAAGGGGGGCCATCGGGTTCATTCACAAAAATTGAGCAAAGCACGGAGCGCATATGGATAGGATAGGAGATGGAGATGGGTGGTCTAAAGGTAATCCCCCCGTGCAATCTGCGCATGTCCCAGCGCATTTGCGGGCAATCGAACGGAAGGCGACTCACCTCTGCTTTTGGGATTTGTGCGCCAAGTTCAAGCGGACGCCAATTTTCGTACTCCGGAGCTTAGCGACGGCAATCAAAGAAGCGCGCCAATCAAATGCGCCTTGGCTTATGCAACATTTCCTGCTCCAAAGGGCTTTTGGGGATTCCCCGTAGTAGTTTTGCTCGCAGAGAACTCGAGGATTAGGATTCTAGGAACTGGAATCACGGTCGCAACACTAGACTACTAGACTAGGCTAGACAGCAGTCGCCCCAGCGGAGGGACGTCTTCTGAGACGGACTGTTACGCGTCCTAAAATGTAACCCGCACATGTGCTCCGGCTTTTAAGGAAACGCGTGTCGGCCGCATTAAAACCGAGAAGTTATTGAAAATGTTCCAGATTATATAAATAATCCAATCCACCCACACTTTCGGTAGGCCTTCGCTTGCTTTAATTTACAATCGATGGCGCTCTATTAATTCGATTCAAACTTCAAGGTGGACTGAAAGCAGCCGTCGAATCGATATTTGAAAATTAATCTAGCAATTAAACTAAAGCCATTTGGTTGCGATAAACAAATGAGCTACGGGCTATTGGGTAAACTAAGGACACCACGTTCAGCCGTCGGACCGTGTTGGCGGTTAGAGCGACGAAATTATAACTGAATTGGAAGTTCAAGTACTGGAGTCCCATCGACGAACCGATGGCCTCTTCGACGGAAAATGGCAGAGCCGACGGTGCGTTCATTTTGTGTATGTGCGCAGGAATTTTCACCGAACCGCCGGATGAATCGTTTCGTGGAAGCCGCCACTGGCACTCGACTCAAATTAGGGGTGATTTGCCAGCGTTAAGGGGAGTTGCCAGCACTGGAATCGTGGTGGAAAGCTCACCCCCTGCGGCTGGAGTTTGTTCCCCCTCATTGGCCCATTGAGAATAAGTGAAAATATTCAAGGGTTTAACATTTACAAAGTTACATTGAGAGGGTCTTAGAGAATACAGCAATTACAGGTCTAGACTAGCTTAAAAGTATTCCTAAGCTGAATATTTCAAGTGTTTTGAACGCTACTGCTGGGCTAGTAGCCGAACTTCTCGTTCAAATGGGTGATGCCATCGCCGCTCTGGTTGGTTGGTGGCACCCACTTGGCGTACTTCTCGGTATCCTCGTGCTCGGCCAGCTCGTCCAGGTCCATGTCCACATCCTGCCGCTGTTTATTGCGCTGTCTTTGACGTTGACGTCGCTTCTTCTGCGCCTCCTCTGCCCCCGGAGTGTCCATAGTGTCGTCTGCTGTGGCGCTAGTGGTTTTGTCTTCCACCGATTCTGATTCTGATGGCGTCGTTGAAGCAACAGTGTCGCTGGGAACTGTTGACACTTCCGCTAAAACTTTTGTTGACATCACGTTGTCTGGTTTTAAGACTTCCGCTTCGGCGTTTGTTGGTTTGCCCTCTTCCGTTTCGGCAGGGAGTTTGGTTTCCGGCAAGTTCTTATTCTCCGTAGTCGTTGTTTTTGCCACAGCTTCCTGTTCCGCCTCTCCGCTGTCCAATTTCTCCGCTTCTTTTTCCTCCTTGGCTTCTTCCTCTTCGACCTCCTCCTCATCCGAGGCAAATGCATTTGATTGGGGCTTAGTTTGTGTGCTCGGCGGCGCTTTGACCACCTTGAATTTACTAAACTGATTTCTCTTGCCAATCATGGGCAGCTGTTTCCTGGTTGCACTGCCCTCCTGGGCGACCGATTCCTTCGTGGCTGCCGCAATGCTGGTGGCGAATGGCAGAGCCGTTGGCTTGGCTATCTTCAAGAGACGTTCAACCTTCAGTTGCTCACCCTTCAGACGCTGCTGCTCCAACTGTTTGAGAAATAAACTTAAGTTTGATTTTATTATTATTTTCCGTTTACACTAACCCTCAGCTTTTTGATCTCGGTCTTGTCCAGTTTCTCAACATCTTCGCTGAGCATGTCCATGAAGTTATCCAGATCATCGCCTTCGTTTTGCTGCTTGGCGGCCAGCTCCTTCAACTTTTTCTCCTTTTGCTGGTAGGTTGCGATTTCCTGCTCCACTTTTTCCATTTCCAGGTTGAGTTCAATCTCCTGTTTTAGCTGTGGAAGATATTGTTAGTTAATATTCAAGAAAATCATCTGTAATACCTACCAAATCCTCATAGGTGAGCGTGACACTGGCTCCTGCATTCTCCTTGCGCTGCTTCTTGCGCGCCACATCCCCAGTGCGATCCCAGAACTCATCCTCGTCATCAGAGTCGCCTTTCTTGAGTATCTTTCTTTTCTGCGCCTCCTGGTTGGCCTGTCGCAGCACACCGTGCCTGTCGAGCGTGCGACACGCCTCCAGGGCGCACTGCACCACGCAGTCCTTCTTGCGTCCCTTGTGATTGACCTCCACAATGATTGGCCTGCCATGGGAGTCGTCCAGCGGCAGCTCCACACGGCAAACGAAGGAACCGCTGGACAGCTCATCGCACCTGTACTCCAGATTGAGACCCTCGCGCTCGAAGAAGCCGCGCAACGTTTTCTTCGGGTCATCGAAGAAGAGCTCCTCGTTATTGGTGCTGGCATAGGGATTGTGGCTGAGATCCGTCTCCTCGTCGGCGTCGTCGCCCATGCCCCAGCTGACGCCCTCGTTGCGTTCCCGCTCCTCGGCCTCCAGCATCCGGATTTCCCTCTCCACCGCCGCGTCGGCGAGTTCCTTCTCTCTTTTCTGCCTTAGTTCAGTGACCGATAGCTCCGATTCGGGTTCTTCATCCTCGCCGGGACCCTGGAGAATGTAAACGCGAGTGCTTCCGCCCAGCTTGAGCATGTGGCCGACCCGCATGCGGATGTAGACCTTCGGCGGCACGCGCTGTTTGTTCAGAAAGGTGCCGTGTGTGCTGCCCATGTCGTAGATGTACCAACCCTCCGGCTGCTCGTTTTTGGTTAGTTCCTCTGGGTCTTCCATCTCTTCCGCCTCTCCGCCCTCCTCGAAGTCCGCCTTCGGCGGCACCTTGGGCTTGTACTGCAGCACCACGTGGAAGCGCGAGATCGTCGGATGGGCGGCGGGCACATCGTTCTCCGGCAGGCGTCCGAAGGTCCACACCGCCTGTTGCTGCAGCTGGCGCACAGTGTCGATGATCTGGCCGGATTTGAGCACCTCGAAGCTGTAGTTCTGATCGCTGGCCGGTGGAGCCGACCACTTGGGCACCTTGTAGGGACAGACGGCTGCTGGAGAGGATTTGGGAGGCTTTGGCGGCGGAGGCGGCGGTTCGGCGGGAACTTCCGAGCGCGGCTTCTCTGTGATGATCACCTTGGGTTTGGGCAGTGGAGCGGGCACTTTGAACTCGTTCATAGTGATTCTTAGGCCAAATATGTTAATTTTCCGAGGAGTAAACAAATTTTCGCAGATTTCAGCTGTTTTTCAGCGCAGTAGGACCAGTCACTGACCGCCAAGAAATACCGTAGTACTTCAACAGTTGTCCCAAAATAATTGCATTTCTTTTTAATTAGGGGAATTCCATAAACTGTTAAATTGCTGAAATTCAACAAAAAATTTCAGCAATTAAGGGAACGACCCAAAATGGTTCCTGTTGAATTTTCAAACAGCTGTTATTTGTTGAAAAGTTTCACGGAACTTAAAGCATGTAAAATTTGATTTATTATTGCTAGTTACTGTCTAAAAGTGTTACCAAGGTAAAAAGAACCACAAATATGCTTTCTAAGTTGATTTTAAAATAAATAATGCGTACTGGTGATACTAAAATGTTACAGAGTTGCCTCGACTTTTAAAAAAAGGTGACAGCTATGGCTTTTCAGCAATTCAAAAAAATTTTCAACAGCCCCGAGGCTGTTGAATAGCTGAAATTTCTGAAAGTTGACTTTGTATGGAACAGCTGATTAACAGCTGACCAAAACTCAACAATTCAGCAATTCAACAGTTTAGGGAATTCCCCTATTTATTTATTTTAAAATAGGCAACAGGCTAAAATGTCCCAAAATTAGTGTTGTCCCAAGAATTTATTCTTGATAGCCAGGGTATTCTTAACTATCTTTAGACGGTCACACTGAGCCCGCGTCGTTTTTGTTTTTTTTATCCTAGCTATTTTTCAATTTATTTATTTATTAAAAACAATTATTTATTATGAATATTTAAAAACAAAAGTGCAATGGCGTTTTCGCAGTCGTTTGACTTCGGAAATAGCACCTTCATGGAGCTGGAGAAGGGCATCCAAGCGGCGGGAAAGGAGAATTCACATGCGGGAAATGCTAATCTCCAAGGAGCTGACCGGGATTCGAAGATTACCAGCCACGATATAAACTCGGAGTTCTTCCAGGACGAGTTCTCCTACGAGGTCAATCATGCCAAGAAGCCGGCAGAGCAGTCAGTGGTCAATGTATCACAGATTGAGGAACTGCTGGTGGGAGTTTCCCATCGGGATTCCGGTGATGTGAGCTCCTCATCCGCCTTCGATGCCCAAATCTGCACGGAGGATGTGTTCGACACGGAGGACAAGGACAAGGAGGCAGTCCAGGAGCTGCATAATCTGGACGAGAGCAGCTTCCTTTGTCCTGCGCAAGATCAGGAGGCTTCCCAGCAGCTGAGGGAGGACATCCTGCGCAGTCGCTGCGTCCTGGCCAAGCAGCCTGTCTATCACGAGATCTCGCAGGTTACCCAGAACCTGAGCAGCATGTCGCCCAACCAGCTGCGGGTATCACCCAATTCCTCCAGCGTCCGTGAAGCGGCGAGCGAGAGAAGAGATCCCCCTTTGGATTTGGAGTCCCAGAAATCAATAGCCTCGTGGAACCTGCCATTTAGCATCCAGGCGGAGTACAAGAAGAAGGGCGTCGTCCAGATGTTCGACTGGCAGGTGGAGTGCCTCTGCAAGCCGAGGGTTCTCTTCGAGCACTGCAACCTCGTTTACTCCGCACCCACGTCGGCGGGCAAAACGCTGGTCAGTGAGATTCTGCTGCTGAAAACGGTCCTCGAACGCGGCAAGAAGGTGCTGCTCATCCTGCCCTTCATCTCTGTGGTCCGCGAGAAAATGTTCTATCTGCAGGATCTGCTCACGCCGGCTGGTTACCGCGTGGAGGGATTCTACGGGGGATACACGCCACCCGGTGGCTTTGAGAGCCTCCATGTGGCCATCTGCACCATCGAGAAGGCCAACTCGATTGTGAACAAGCTGCTGGAGCAGGGAAAACTGGACACCATCGGCACCGTCGTGGTCGACGAGGTGCACCTGATTTCGGACAAGGGACGCGGCTATATTCTAGAACTTCTGCTAGCCAAGATCCTCTACATGTCGCGTCGTAATGCCCTGCAGATCCAGGTGATCACCATGTCGGCCACTCTGGAAAATGTAGAGCTGCTGAAGAGCTGGTTGGATGCTGAGCTGTACATCACAAACTATCGTCCCGTGGCTCTGCAGGAAATGATCAAGGTGGGCACGAAGATCTTTGACCAGCAGCTGAAGTTCCTGCGCGACGTCTCGCAGCAAAAGGAGATGCGGCAGGCGCTGGGCAACGATTCCGATGACGTGGCTCTGCTCTGCATCGAAACGTTGCTGGAGGGCTGCTCCGTGATTGTGTTTTGCCCCTCGAAGGACTGGTGCGAGAACCTGGCCGTCCAGTTGGCCACTGCCATGCATGGTTTGATCAAATCTGGCTCAGAACTGGGCCGCCGTTTGCGGGTGAATCTTAATCCGAAGGCCATCGAGGAAGTTAAGCAGCAATTAAGGGATATTCCTACAGGTTGGTCTAGGGAAAACGATTGTTTATTCTGAAATCCTTGAGTTTAATTCATCTATTCCTTTTAGGACTCGATGCGGTCATGGGCAAGGCTGTTACCTACGCCTGCGCCTTTCATCATGCCGGTTTAACTACCGAGGAGCGGGACATTGTGGAGGCCTCGTTCAAAGCGGGATCACTGAAGGTCCTGGTGGCCACCAGCACACTTAGCTCTGGTGTTAATCTGCCCGCTCGACGCGTGCTCATTCGCTCTCCTTTGTTCGGGGGCAAGCAAATGAGTTCCCTCACGTATCGCCAGATGATCGGACGGGCAGGACGCACTGGCAAGGATACGCTGGGCGAGTCTATACTCATCTGCACAGAGAGCAATGCTCGAATTGGAAGGGAACTGGTCACAGCGCAGCTGCAGCCCATCACTTCCTGCCTGGAAATGGACGGAAGTGTAAGTAACCCAGTCAATAGCATCAGCAAACTAAAGGAAATTCCCACCACAGACCCACTTGAAACGCGCTCTCCTGGAGGTTATATCTTCTGGTGTGGCTACCACTAAACAGGACATTGATTGCTTCGTCAACTGCACACTGCTGAGTGCCCAGAAGGCTTTGGAAGCAAAGGACCAACCACCAGAGGAGGACTCGGACTCGCACTACATAAACGATGCCCTGGACTTTCTGGTAGAGTACGAGTTCGTTCGCCTGCAAACGGACGAGGAGGCGGAGACAACAGCCTATGTGGCCACGCGTCTGGGTGCCGCCTGCCTGGCTTCCTCCATGCCACCCACCGATGGTCTGATTCTCTTTGCGGAGCTGCAGAAGTCCCGTCGTTGCTTCGTCCTCGAGTCTGAGCTGCATGCTGTGTATCTGGTGACACCGTACTCCGTTTGCTATCAGCTGCAGGATCTCGACTGGCTGATTTACCTGGACATGTGGGAAAAGCTCAATCCGGCCATGAAGAAAGTGGGCGAACTGGTGGGCGTCAAGGAAGCCTTTCTCGTGAAGGCAATGCGTGGTCAAACGAAACTGGACTACAAGCAGATGCAGGTGCATAAGCGGTGGGTCACTTTTTTATTAAGAGAACATCAACTAATCATCCTTACATACTCCCCAGTTTCTACACAGCTTTGGCCCTACAGGAGCTGGTTAACGAGACGCCCATAAACGTGGTGGTGCACAAGTTCAAGTGCCACCGAGGAATGCTGCAGAGTCTGCAGCAAATGGCCTCCACCTTCGCGGGCATTGTCACCGCCTTCTGCAACTCCCTGCAGTGGTCCACGCTTGCGCTGATCGTATCGCAGTTCAAGGATCGCCTCTTCTTCGGCATCCACAGGGATCTCATCGATCTGATGCGGTTGCCCGACTTGTCACAGAAGCGAGCACGTGCGCTTTTCGATGCCGGATTCACCAGTTTGGTGGAGCTGGCGGGCGCTGATGTCCTGGAGTTGGAGAAAGTGCTCTTCAATTCGCTTAGCTTCGACTCTGCGAAGCAGCACGACCACGAGAACGCGGAGGAGGCGGCCAAGCGAAATGTCGTAAGGAACTTCTTCATTACGGGTAAAGCGGGAATGACAGTCAACGAAGCTGCTAAACTGATAATCGGCGAAGCTCGTCAGTTTGTTCAGTACGAGATCGGAGTGGGCAGTATCAAGTGGACGCAGACACAGCTGGAGGGCAATGAAAGTTCACAATCGCTGAAGAACGACGAGGAGGTTGACATTCATATGTCCCTAGAGGAGGAGCAAGTTCGAAATCAACCGCCTTCAAAGCGAAAGCTGTCGAGGGATGAAAAAATTACTGTCGGAGCTTCAGGAACCCACAAGATTCCCAAACTGGAGCCACTGGTGAATAAGCTAAATAAGCCACAGCAAAACAACTTAGTTGGCACTCTTAATCAGCATAAAAACATCGCTAGTCAAAGGTTTAATACAAAACTAGCTCCAGAAATAAGTAACAGGCACAATGCTGCCAATGTTCAAGAAACCATTGAAAAATCTTCTGAGAAACCTTTGGAAAAGATGGAAAAACGAAATCAGAATCAGGATAAGGTTAATCCTAATACTGTGGTTGCAGTAAAGAAGGCACAACCAATAAAAGTTGATAACTCCGAGGAAAAGGTAGCCATTCCGAGTTTATCTTCCAATCTGCCCAGTCAAAATAACATCCAAGCTATCGCAAGTAACTCAACCGAGACCTGTTCAAAACAAATCCAGGGAACGGAATCGGAGATTGATAGAAAAAGCAGTCCAGTTGTTCCCAGTAAAAGTCCGCAGATAGCAGACGAAGAGAAGCCCAGCACCAGTCATAATGTCCGTAAAGAAATGTTGAGAAAAGAAATAGCTGAACGTCGTAGGATAGCATTACTGAAGATTCAGCAGAAACGTTCCGAAATGGATAACCAGTCTAAGGATCAACCTATACAGGCAGCACGATCTGCATCAATTGCCCCTGAACATAGTCCGATTGCGGTAAATAATACTCCCGCTACTCAAAAGACCCAAAAGAGTACACAGTTGGAAACCCCTAATAAAGAGGCTGGATCTATTCCCAATCCACCAACGGCAAAGACATTTAAAACTCCATCCAGCTCCAGCAGAGAATCGTCTGCCACTCCTACACGCAGACATAGCAAAAGCTCAGCTTCTCAGCTGCCACGAAGAAGTCCTCGAAATCATACGCCCTCGCCCACACCAACCCCAAATCGCACTGCCTCAAGAAAGGCATCCACGGCGGAGCAGGATTTGTTTATGGCAGACGATTCCTTTATGCTGAATACCGGACTGACCGCCGCTCTTACGGCCGCCGAGAGCAAGGTTCCTGCTTCTGCGGAGGCGGATGAGATACCTAGCTCGCAGCCCAAGGAACCGGAGGTGATTGGTAGCCTAACTCCACATGCATCCAGGATGATGCGCTCCTACCAGTTGCGTTCGCAGCGCCTGCAGAGTCCCAGTTCCCGATCACCGAGTAGAAGTGTATCCAAAACCACGCCCAGTGAAACCGAGACAGATTTGGAATCTAAAAGCTCTTCCAATGTGGCCTCTTCTATGGAAATCTCAGACATGTCCATGGAGAACTCATTAATGAAAAATCCTCTGCATCTGAATGCCTCACACATTCTGAGCTGTTCGAAAGCAGATGACAATGCCTCAAGCTTCTCTAGCATAGATATAATCGATGTGTGTGGCAACAAGCAGTTGTTTCAAGGTGTTCTGATGGAGCTTCTCAAGGCCCCTCGTTTTGGCTTCAGCGTGGGTTTGCAGGCCCAAGCGGGCAGACAGAAGCCTCTAATTGGAGCCAACCTGCTGATCAATCAGGTTGCGGCGGCGGAGCAGCGAGAGGCAGCCGCCGGCAAACAGGTGCTTTTTCAGGTGGACGACAGCAACTTCATCTCCGGTTTGTCCTTCTGCCTGGCTGACAATGTAGTCTACTACATAAATATGCAGGATGAAGTACATAAACAGGGGCAAGTTGTTCCTACCAGTCTAAAGGTGCAGGAACTGTGCAAGCTGATGGCTCGAAAAGATCTCACTTTAATCATGCACGATGGAAAGGAGCAGCTAAAGATGCTGCTGAGAGCCATTCCGCAGCTGGAGAGGATCAGCGCCAAGCTGGAGGACCCCAAGGTGGCCAACTGGCTTCTGCAGCCGGACAAGACAATGAGTTTTCACAATATGGTAATTATTATTATTCCTTTCACGATTTTTTTCTTAATTGTTGACCTTGCAGTGCCAGCAATTTGCTCCAGAATGCACTGCCCTTGCTGATCTCTGTGGCAGCGGTCGTGGTTACAGCAGCTACGGACTGGATAGCTCTAGTGCCATTCTTCCAAAGATCAGGGCTTCGATTGAAGCTTGTGTAGCAGTGCACATTCTGCAGGGTCAGATTGAGAATCTTGGCAGGATCGGCACGGGACAATTGCTCAAGTTTTTCCAAGGTGAGTTTTAAGAAATTCTTATTAAGAGTGTTTGTAAATAACCAGATTTCCTTTTAGATATCGAAATGCCCATTCAATTGTCCCTTTGCCATATGGAGTTCGTTGGCTTTCCCACGAAAGAGCAGCGTCTGCAGCGAGTCTTTCAGCAAATGGTGGCCGGCATGAAGAAGCTGGAGGTGAAGATCTACGAGCAGCATGGCTCCCGTTTCAATCTCGGTTCGACGCAGGCTGTGGCCAAGGTGCTGGGTCTTCACCGAAAATCCAACGGTCGCGTGACCACCTCGCGTCAGGTGCTCGAGAAATTGGACTCGCCAATATCGCTTCTCATACTGGGCCACCGAAAGCTGGGCGGTCTTCTGGCCAAATGCATTCAACCGCTGCTCAAGTGCTGCCAGGCGGACCGAATTCATGGCCAGAGTATTACGTATACGGCGACGGGTCGTATTTCCATGACCGAACCGAATCTTCAGAATGTCGCAAAAGACTTTGCAATAAAAGTGGGATCGGAATCGCTCAATATATCCTGCCGCTCGGCCTTCGCACCGAAGGATGAGGAGCGTTGTCTCCTGTCGGCTGACTTTTGTCAGCTGGAGATGCGAATTCTGGCCCACCTGTCGCAGGACAAGGCTCTGGTGGAGGTGATGAACTCGCCGCAGGACCTCTTTACCGCCATTGCGGCGCACTGGAACCAAATAGACGAGTCCGAGGTGTCGGAGCATCTCCGCAACGGCACCAAGCAGATTTGCTACGGGATTGTCTACGGCATGGGCATGCGCGCCCTGGCTGAGTCGTTAAAGTGCAATGAGCAGGAGGCGCGGATGATATCCGAGCAATTCCACCAGGCATACAAGGGCATTCGGGAGTACACCCACAAGGTGGTCAAGTTTGCGCGCAACCAGGGATATGTGGAGACCATTACGGGACGTCGACGCTACCTGGACCACATCAACAGTCCCGAGGAGCAGATGAAAAGTAATAGTTATAAAACTAAATGTATTTTTGATATAAATATCCTTATTTTCCCGCAGATCAAGCCGAACGCCAGGCTATTAACTCCACCATCCAGGGTTCAGCTGCGGATATTGCGAAGAGTGCAATTTTGAAGATGGAAAAGAACATAGCCCGTTATCGAGATAAGCTGGGATTGGGGGAGAGATCAGTTAACCTGGTTATGCACCTACATGACGAACTTATCTTCGAGGTGCCTTCCGAGAAGGCCAAGAAAATTGCCAAGGTTCTCAGCCTCACCATGGAGAACTGTGTTAAACTCAGTGTGCCACTCAAGGTTAAGCTGAAGATGGGACGCAGTTGGGGAGAGCTGCAGGAGATTAGGGTGTAGTTTGTTTGACTCTTTTATTATTATTGTAGTATTTGGAATTTTATAGAATTTTTTATCAAATTTGTATAGACTGCATGTTTATAGGGTATTAATTCTGCTTCGCCTGCCACTCCGTCCAGGATCCGGCATAGGACTTGGCACTGTAAAGAGAATAATTAGGAAAAATAAATGTACAGAATTAAAATTACTTAAAAAATGTTATATACTTGGTGAAGCCCAATGTGCTGGCCAGATTAGCCGCCCTAGCGGCGCGTCCTCCCGCCTTGCAGGAGAAGATCAGGACCGCATCGATTGCCGGCTTTTCGCGTCCATAGGTCTCGGCGAAGGCCTCGTCCGGCAGGTTAAGAGCCTTCTCCAACTCGGCCACTGGAAATAGAGGAAATATAGAAAGGTGTGTCCATTAAGCCGGTAATCCCTGCACTTTGGCGCTGCTCACATGGAATGTTAATGCTGGCGGGCAGGACACCGGTTTCCTTCAGCTCCGACTCGTTGCGGACGTCGAAGAGGTACTTCTCCGGATGATTTGGAACATCCTTGACTTCCTCATAAGTGGCCATATCAATGTTATATTTTAATAAATTAATTAAACACAAACTAAAAATTAATCCCGGTATCTGAAGTGTGACCACTGATAGACCGATTAAATATACCAGTAGGATGTGAGAAATATACCGCATCAAAAGTATCGACTACTTTTATAATACTAAATTTAAACTTAAAAAATCAAAAGTAACCGCCCACATTTTTTAAACCATCATAAATTTTAAATTTAATCCGAATATTAAATCAAAATAACACCCGTTTTCTCATTTACAAGTTACATTTACAGTAGGGTTCAAGATTATTTTGGGAGCTCAGAATTCAAAGCTTACTTTAAATTTGACACGCGGACGAGAAAAAGAACCATTAAAATTTTAAATTTAGAGCGGTTTTAAAAATAAAATTCTATTTGCGACCTTTTATAAGTACCAATAAAAAACAATAAAAACTAAACCAATTTATTTTGAAATGTTACAAGTTATTAGACGAAATATTCAATAATATATTTATATATTACCTACCCCCAAATTTAAATCCAAAACAACAGGCATTTCCAAAATTGTGTTATTTTATTTTTTATACAATTTAAAAATCAGTTTAAATTTCACATTTAATAATATTCAAGAATTCACTAATTACAAAATAGTCGAAGCACAGGCAATTATTTGCACTAACAAAATTTAAATTGCACAACGTTTTTATTTCAATTCTTGTGGCCTTTCTTGTAGGAGCATTCAGAACAATTAAATAATATTGCAAAATAAATACAGGAAATACATGCCTTGTCCCACGTTCTACAGTTTTTAGATTTCAGTATAACAAATATATTTACTGCGTATAAAAGTGGTACGGTTGCAAATTAATGGCCCTTCAAGCTGCACATCGACATTAACCTAGATATTGTATACAGTATAACTTCATGCTTTTTCATTGGCATTGAACAATTGTTTCTTCACACTTTCCTTAAGTCAACAACGACATTGGGGCGCTCAACACACACTCTCTTGTCTTATTCCACTAGGCTGGTTCCTCATCTCTACATTACATCTCGCTTCACAATCGATTATCCAAAAATATGCTACGTTTGTGTAAATTCTACGAATTTATGATTGATATCTCATATGGTGCAATGCTTGCCATTGCCGCTTGTGTGTGTTTTAATACCCAGTTTAGCGCGTTCTCACAACGAGTATAGTACATATAAAAAGGCAGTCGCCTGCACTGTGGTTGAAAGTAAAACAAATCGAACATAGTGCATCCTAGGAGTTGGTCTCAATGTGTTTGGGGTGGCGTGAGGTGGTGTGATCGGGTGTGTATATTACAACAGGGCACTAGTCATAGCGCTTCGACGGCGGTACTAAGTGCTCCGGCAGCACGGTGGGCAGCTCGCAGCCTTCCAGCTTGACGTTGATTAAGTGCAAGGCCAGCGCGAACTCGTCAGCGTCCAGGAAGCCATCGCCATCGACATCGGACAGCTTCCAGATCTTGCTGAGCACCGAGTTGGGCAGTTTCGACTTGATGAGCTCCTGCTTGGCAGCTGAAAGTGGGGGATGGAATTAGTTTTCTTTCTTTCTTTAAAGATTTTATAAAGGCAGCAAAACTTACTTGCACCGGATATCTTGCCATCGACGGGTCCCAGCCCATTGAAGATGCCGTCTGTGCGTGGCTTGTCCTTGTTGCAGATCCACTCGTGCTCTCCGTAGCCGGCGTCGATGCCCTCGCCCTTCATGTAGCCGAAGGGTGAGACGTGGTCGTCGATGACTCCCTCGAAGGCACCACCTGTGGAGGAGGAAAGGGAAAAGATCAGAGAAAAGGTCAGCTCGCTACTCGATACTCTGTGTGCGCCATAAATTTGCATTAATTAAGCATGTAATCTAAGTTGATCGGTGCGTCGCCGTGCACAAACATTCAATTTGAGGCAATTAAAACCTTCAGATCGTTTTGGCTCCAATTGACGTCGCCGCCGTACGTATCGTGACTAGGCCGGCTGACCGACTTAAGCATGTACTTTGCCGGCTACTTTAACAGGCAATTGCGGTGCATTCTGGGCGGCAATTGAGATGGGCGGTGCAGGTTGCCAAGTGCGAACTCAATTCACTTTTTTGAAGTTGCTCAATTCGTTTGCGGCCTCTTGCTGTCGCATCGGCCAATTGAAAAGGGCTCTACGGGTGGCATGACTTGGAGCCTAAAGGCAAGATTATTTTGCAACCATTTTATGGTTATAGGAACTCAAAAATGCATTGTTTTTTAACCTATGTATTCAAAATCTGATCTAGTATGTTAGATTTTGGTAAAAGAAATAAATTGCTCAAGTTTAACTTGGTAAAATTATTTAAGACCGTAAATTTATAAAAAATGTATTAAAATATGTGCACTTTAGAATCTGTTTAAAAACTTGTTATTACTTGGAAGATTTCGACAATATACATTTGCTTTTAAGGATCTAAGTTATATTATCTAAGTTTATGTTACCAAGTAAAATTATTTGAGACGGTAAATTTGAAAAAATGAAATTTAATATTTAAACTTTAGAATCTTTTTAAAAACTTCTTATTATTCCAAAGATTTCTGCAATATACATTTACTTTTAGGGATCTATATTAGAGATCATTTTAAGCACATATTTTATTTCTGTTAAATAAAAAATTCGCATTTTTTGTATTTAAGAAACTTTGTATATTAGAAATAATTATAAGCACATATTTTATTTCTGTTGATTAAAAAATTTCGCAATTATGTATGTACTTATTTCCTGAAACAGTTTTAAAATCTCTATTCTAATCAAAATGTCTGAACTCTGTGGAATTTCTTAGCTTCTTTTGTTTCTGGAAAGTTTTTATTTTTAGAATTATAATTCGCACAAAAGTTGCGAATTGTGAGTTGTGATTTCCATGTTTTATTCCTTATGAACTTTGCGATTGCGTCATGCCACTGATTTGTGGAGCAACTACTAAGGGTGCTTACGTCCATGTCTGCCCCTGTCCCCGTCTCCGGATCTTCGTCAGCCTCGGGAAAAGGATCAGGTTTGTTCTCTAGCTCTGAATCCACCTCCAGCCTAGCTTCAACCTCAGTCTCTGGCTGTGGTTCTGCACCCGGATCGGCTTCCTTGTCGCTCTCGACGACATTGCCCACCCGACTAGTGCAACTGCTGAACAGACGAAGTTGCTGCTGGCGCAGATTTTGCAGCCAGCGATCGAAGCGCTCCGCAAACTGCTGCCGCTGCGAACTGGGGGTCAGAAGATTGGGCTCCTCGGCCACATCGAAATCCTCGTCGGAATCCTCTTTGGGTATGCAAGAAATAGAGAGAGAGAACGATGACAGAGGAGGAGGAGGAGGAGCATCTGGAGCGTGCTGGAGTGACGAGTGCCGAGTGACTCGGACGTGGAAATCAAACCAAGATAAATTAGTGGGCCAATGGCGAAAACGAAAAGAACGGCGAACAGAAGAACATATTTCTGCAAGATCGTGTTAGATATGTGTATAGCTATTTAGCGACATATTGCTAAACATGTGATGCCAGCACAGATTCAGATGTGCGGTGACTGATTTGGAAGTGAAGGAAGTGAGTCAACCTGACAACCTGCGATCGAGGGCACGGTCCATTGGCAAATCAAGCGAAACTATTAAGACAACCTGGTACAGGGGCCCTTATTTTGGCGATGGACTGCATGTACTGACTACCCGAGTCAATTATCCAAGACAAAACAACGGAAATGCTGTGAAATAAAACCAAAGTGTGCAGCGAACACAACGAAAATAAAATCAGAGATACAGATACACACACAGAACTAATTTAGAGGCCCGAGTTCTTGACTTTGATCGCGATTCGCTTTATCAACGCATTCCGCCTCTCTTTCAGGGGTACGTCCACCGAAATTCTTCCGCCCCTTTCCTCTGGTGTAATTATAACCGAGAAGTTCATTCACTTGTCGAGTCAATTTTAGGGGGCTATCGAATTTTACACAGTTCGAGATTCGTAAACAGAGACTGCGGATGACACATTCGGTGGAATAATGATCCCCCCCATGACATCAGTCGATCGCTTTCGGCAGTCGTATTATATAGCATAGATTTGACGTATTTGTGGAATGCTTTCGCACAAGGTCATGCGAAATGCGCTAATAGTTAAATTAAAAAGCCACTCAAGTGGTCCACAAACCAAAAGGCAAACTGAAAAGATCAGACAATGCCATTGTGGATTATATATATATCATAGTAAAATGCTTTCTTCCTGCACTTAGCACTTGCTAGTGTTCAGCTGAATTTCGTATTCCCCATGGGAAATTCACCGGCGGATTAGGCGGAGGATGAGCCACTTAGCCAGTGCCACACGTTCCAAGTCAGAATCGGAGAGGCACAAATTGATACGCGGCCTCAGGTTGCCAACGCCATCAAAAATATCCGACGGCAACCGGTTCGGATCCACAGATATGTGTATCTCGCCCGAGGTGGGATGGGTTATGATCAGGGATCGTCTGGACTGGGCGTGGGGATTATTCTGGGGGCTTTATTTGATCAGCTTGCCGCATGACAAATGCACCGGACAAAGTTCTCCCTCTCGAGAGGCAGAAATTATTGGAATGCAAAGTTGTATTATTTACTCTTCCCATTTCAAATTGCTTTGCCTATTAAGAGATAATTACTTTGGCCGTCTGTGTACAGAATTAATCCAATCACACGCTTTTCGGTTTTAGTTTTATAGCAGTATTTTCGTTTAGGAAGTATAAAATAATTTACTTGCTGATAACCGAGTATAAATAAATGGAAAGTCCATTTGGAACTGGTGACTGAGCCTTTTGGTCGAACGATAAAAACGGTTTGTGCATGCAAAACAAATGATTACATAAATGAGCAATAATATTAGTGACTGGCTTTTCATAAGTCGCTTGTATAACATCCAATAATCCCAAAGGCTAGAGATAATTACAAGTTTTGCGGTAATTGTCGCGTTGATAACCTTTTGAGCTACTTATTCTTTTGATAATTCCCAGTTTAAGGTACGAAATATGTCCGAAATGCTTAAAAATTCCACCAGCATCGCCACAGTGGCGAACTTATTACTTAATTATAGTGTTTACTTTGATAAACGAAATGAGCATACAGATTTGCTGGTGGAAATTAGAGCACTGCTAATCATAGAGGAGCAGACGGGGACATTCGTCCATCCAAGGAGAGTTGGACTACGTTTTCCCCGACTGATAAGACACATTTGATGATGGCATGCTGACTCGGCCTTACATTGATTTTTATCTAATATATATAGTTGGCTGCAGGCGGCGGCAGCCACATTGCCTAGCAACCCGATAAGGGTTGACAAACAAGCCACTTTTGCTTGGCCCACTAACGAATGCATGGGGGAATGCGAACAGGTGTGCGGAAAAAGTGTAATTAGGCCTTGAACTCTGGGCCACGCACGAAGTTCAGAGGTCACAGTAAACCGGTCGCCACTCAGCTGGCATCGAATGGAATTGGCTCCCAATTAAAGTTTAGTTGAGGCGCCTCTAGTCTCTGATTAACTACATTACTCTGCCCCCTGCTTTCTCCCCCCTGAAAACCGAATTCCAATTGTTTTGCTGGGCGTTTTGGCTCGGAATCGAGTGCGTGGTACTCGTCATGCTTGCCTGGATGCGTCTGCTCCGGAGAGCCAGATCCGATTCAGCCACTGGGTACTCGAGTGTGAAATATTTATCATGCCCAACTGTACAACTATTTTCTTTCTCTGATGACTCATAAGGCCCAATTAGAACAAACCCTGTGCTCTGGCTATCGATATTTTCCAATGATTACATCATAACCACGAATCTTATCTGGCCAATGGAGAAAACAGTCAACTTGGCTTACTTTTTCTTGCCATGACGAAAGCAACTTGATAATTACCGACATATAAATAGTATTCATTTTCGGCTGGCCACGCCTAGCGGCGAATGGCGCCCCCTTTTCGAGTACAAAGTAGTCGCTTATCAGCTTGCCAACCCAGTATTTGCAAAAGATATAGAATATACGTGGTTCTCGGCGATATTTGCTTCCACCTCGATGTTTAGTTTTGCGCAAAAAGTGCGTGTGTGTTGCCTAAGCGCTAAACTGACACCGACTTTTTTGTCGCCTTATCAGTTTTCGGGGCTTATCACTTTGTTTATATAGCTCGAATATGTTTCGTCTATAGTATACGGTTATATATAGTCATAGTTGCCAGGGCATTGCATAATTCTCCAGCCAGCGAAAAATAGGAAGCTGGATTTTAGGATCGCTCCCCGGTGGCTTTCGTTGCCAGTTGTAATTGTATCCATTAAATTCGCTAGCTCTAGCCATATAACTGAATCCAATCCGCTTACTCGGAGCTCTAGCAAAACTCGTTTTCTTCGCATTTTGGCTTGGCAAATATCTGGGTTAACTGGGGAATTTTTCTCGCTGCGCATGCGCAATGTTTCAGAGCGCTGGGAAAGCGAAAACGCCAGTGAAATGCTCGAGGAAAACCGCGAGATTTCTCAATAAGAGTGGTTCCCCCCATTTTGGGTGGACAGCAAGTGCAGCAGGTGACGGATACGACAAAGCGGTGCGAGGGGGACTTACCCTTGACCACGGGATCCGAGACCAGTGTCATCTCCTCCTGCGGAATCATCTCCATGAGCCGCGCAATGTCCTTGGCCAGCATGTTGTCCACAATGTCCAGCAGATGCGGCTTCAGCGAGTGGAACTTGGTGAAGTCCTGGTGCTGCAGCACCTCCTGCATCTTCTTGATGTCGGGGAAATCGCCGGGCGAAATGGAGTGCTCGCGCTGGATGCGATCGTACACCTGGCCGAGGTTCTTGATAAGATCCTTCTTCTTGCTGTCCTTGCCGAACACGGAGGGCATATCCTTGCGCAGCTCGGCGATGATGAAGGCGTGCACCTTGGCCAGTCGCGCCCGCTTGATCAGATCGTTCAGCTTGCGCAGGGCGGCGTTGCGCGGCAGTGACTGCAGATCCCGGAAGAGATCCTGCTCCTCGTCCTCGAAGAGACGCCTATTGGCATCGAAACGCAGCGGCTGATCCCAGAAGGAACCGATGTAGACACGCGCCACCTCCGGCGTCTGCAGCACCTTGCCCAGCGACCACATCAGTGCTCCGTACACCCGCATCAGCTGCTGGTGGTCGATCATGTCCGCCTTGTTCAGGATGATGCGGATCTTGTCGTCGTGCCCCTTGAGCGCCTCAATGGAGCGCCTGAATTCGTCCGAGATGTCCAGCTTGTGGGCGTCGAACAGCAGGATGATGCGGTCCACGCGCTCCGCAAACCACTCGAGAACTCCGGTGAAATCGTAGCCCCTGTCGATGCGCTGCTTTTCGCCCGAGAGAATGCCCGGTGTGTCCACGATGGAGATGGCGTTCAGCACCGGCGAGGCGACGCTGCTGCACTGGAAGCGATTGAGGAAGGCGTTGCCGTACTTGGACAGCGGCCTGAACTGCTTCTTGGGGTCCACGACCAGGGCGTTGCCCGGGATGACGCCCTCCTTGTCGTCGTACATCACCGCGATGAAGCGATCCGTCGTGGGCTCCGGACCAATCCGAATGCCCGGGAAGTCGCGCTCCAGCAGGTAGCGGATGAAGGTCGTCTTGCCCGTGGAATACTGACCCACGAGAAGGATCATGGGCTTGGCATCGAAGTCGGGATCCTCGAGCTTCGGCGAGTGAAAGTCGTGGAACTGGTAGTGCTCCTCCAGCGGCAGCAGCTTGCTCCGGTAGATCTTCTTCAGCTCGCCGATCACATTCTCCACCACCTCCTGGGTGTTCTTCTCGCGCTTCAGGAAGCTGAACATTTCGCAAGACCTTTAATTAGCCACCGGAATAAGTGAGGGGATGTGGGGTGTGCTGGCGCGGGTGCTACGGATTACGGATTTCGGATCTCGGACCTCGACGACTACGGCAGTTATGTTATGTGTCTACACTCGATTGTCGCGCTGCGCTGGGACGTGTGGCGAATGATTCACGCGCGTACGTACGTATACGTATTATTTTTGGAATTCAATTCGGGCCAGTGATGGGAGGAGCGACCAAGGCTGCAATCGATGGGCGCCGCCTATCGCCTATCGATTGGTGTAGAAAAAGAGTTGGCAGCTCCGCCATTATTGTAGAAAAAGAGTTGGCAGCTCCGAGAGTTTGGAATATCGATGAATTTTTAGGATCACACTTATCGAATTCAAATTGTAAATTCGCGACCCAAGAATAAGAGTTCAAGGTACAACTTACCTGTCGCCCGCTTCTGGGCGCGGCATATTGTCTAGTTAATTGAAATAATGTTACGTTAAATTTATGGGCCTTCCGAACTGTAGTCCACAAATAACTAAAACAAAACTCTGCACAAACTAGCTATCTGTTGAATCTGTGGTGTGATACTAAAACGCAGCTTACATTATCAACTTAAATTTGATTTTCTTGATAAAAATTGATATGTACAATGTTTCAAGTCAGTATAAATAAAACTCAGAGGCTACGCCGATCATAGATGCCGAAAAAAGTGCTTAGAGCTAGAGATCCCCGAAATTCAGGGCTTCAGAAGCTCCGCTTCGTCGCTGTGAGGCACCACCGGATCGATGCCGAAATTCATCTTCATAATGTCACAAAACACGGATAGGTAAATGAAGACATCTATAAAGTGGTTGATGGTAAAGCCCCAATTACGTTGCTTGGGATTATGCATATTCATGAGGGACTGAGTGATCAGCAAAACTCCAACAGCCACCTGTTTGCAAAGGTAAGAGAAAATGCATAGCTTTAGGATCAATCGATTTATTTATTTCGCTTTACAATCTAATTCTTAGTTTAACTTATAACTTTATAATTTGGTGTAAATCGTTGGATTTTTAGTTTATACGGTGTCATTTCGTGCTGAATACTCTATGAGTACTCTATGCCAAAACCGGATATGATGACGTTCACCACGGATATTATGAAAACGACCACCAAAATGACATCGTTCAGGATCACCGCCGCCGTCTGATCCTGCTGTCTGTTAATGTTGAGACTCCCGATGGCCACAAACAGAATGCCCACCAAAAGCTGTCGAAATGAATGGGGAAAGCGTTAGAACCGGGAAGTAAGGATCCATTGAAGACTATTCCCACCGTTTGTCCTAGTTAACTTTGTTTACAGTTTCGCCCTGTAGCGGGGGAATACGATTATCAAAGGCCGAGATAAACAAATTTATCATCGTCGTGAAAAAGGCAAAACCCGTGCGCACATGGTTAATGATATTGGCCGACTGGTGATACTCTGGCTGGTGCAACCGGCAGTCCCTCAGCAAACTCAGAGACAGGCTCAGTACGCCGGATAGAACCTACACAGAGAAAAACATAGCAATATCAGTACTGATGGCTGATTTTTGATTTTAAAATATTTAAATTTTAATAGAAATAAAAACTCTTTCAAAGAGATTTTAAACAAATTTATAAAATCTCAAAGGATATTTTTATACACTTTATGTAGTTGTAGAAGATTTCAATAGATTGACAAATTTGTAATGATGTTTTTCTCTGTGCAGGACACGTAGAGAACAAGGATAGATATTATGAATAACTATCTATGCTCACCTGTAGCACTATGGACAGACTGATCAGGATCAGCATTAGCTTGTAGAACTGGTGAGTTTCGCCCACTTGGAGGATGTACTTCAGTTGGGAGGCATTAGCAGTCAGAAGAGCAATATCCAGCATGCCCTGGGCAATCGTCTTCTTGGTGGCATACCGATTGGCATCCATGGCCTTCATCTAAAAAAAATGAAGAAAACATTAGTAATTTAATAGGCAGATAGATTAAAATAAAATTGTGAAACCGAAGGATACGTTTTCGAGGAAAGATGTCATGATGCCGGTGCAAGAGTCAAATGCAAAGTGAATAACTATAGCAGTTCGATTCCAAAGTTTTCTTTATCTTTTTGCCATTTATGTCAGATCTTGTGCTGATAAGAAGGCAGAACATCACAACTCGAACTAATGAAAAAATGGGCATACAAAAAGCTTACATTGGGGACAAGGGTTACAAAAAAAATGCACAGAGAAAAAGTGATAAATTATTTTTAAAGATGCAAAAAAAAATTTAAAAAAGTAAATTTTTAATAGGTTTCTGCAAAAAAAAAAAAAAGTTAACTATACTACAAACAGCTGCAAGGATAATTGGTATTACAGGGTATGTGGTGTGTCATATAATTGTCATAACAATTAGAAAATCAATATGAGAACAAACAACCGGTGGGAATTAAAATGCTTTTTCGCACAGCTCATCGGTGTTTTAAGGTGCATAAGGCAAACGAGTGGGGCACATATCATTTTTAAACTGCACGAACAGAGAAAACAACGACAATTACATGGACTGGCAATTACCGATGGGATGGAAATGGGGATATGGATATGGAGGTGGTGTGTCTCATTCGCACGAGTAAATAAATAATTTATGAACAGGAATATAGTGTTAGGATCAAGGTCAGTGTGCCAGCTCTGAATATGAGTACACCTGAAGAGGTAATATCTTTATATCTTCGGACTTACCTCATTTTCGTTTACCCTATCCATAACTGACGCCATAATGAATGAATCTTTCAGTTTTTTTTTTTAAATTTGAGCTTTGTTTTTGGTCACACACCACTGCACTTTCGTTCAGTTTTTAAGCCAAACAAAAGAACTCGAAAACGTTCAATTCAAGTGGTTTCAGTTTTCATTGTCTCCTCAAATTGGCAACACAATCGTTGTCGTGGAGACGGTTTGCGACACAACCAAACGATTAAACAACTGACGGCGAACTGAAATCAAATATCCAGCACAGAGAACCCAACCCGCGAGTCGGGCTTTCGGTACACTTGACCAGATAGAGAGTGGTTCAAGCTGGAAAGAGTATTTTCGAATAGACATGACTCATGACAGTAGTTTAGTGAATGTACTAAATAGATACATTTTAGGAAGCGGATGTACGTAATTTTTATTTATCCTTAAAGATAATTTTGACAAAGTTTTTACATATTGGTGATTCAATTTTGTGGAATACTCCGAGAATGTTTTCTTAAAAACAACAGATTGCATTTTATGATTGATTATTTCGTCGAAGTATTTTACATATGGCTTATTTTGATGACTCAATTTTTTAAAATATTCCGGGAAATTTTTTTGTAAGAAACAACAGATTGCGTGTATTGCTTTATAATTGAAAACCAATCCTAAAATTTGAAAACGAACGCTTAAAAATATGTTCATCATTTTTGGATCATAGTTTGAAGTCAAACTCAAAACACTTTGAAAATTGAATAAAAGAAGGCGTGGAGTAAGCTGCTTTTGGATTTTACACAGAACAGTACAATTTTCAAGTAGATTTGGTTAGGAGTTGCTCATACACTAGAGAGAAATTCAAGATTTATTCCAAAAATAAACATGGAATTTCCCATCCCAGAGGCTCAATACTGGGACGTTTCCAAGAAGTCCCAGAAAGATCGTCAGATGATTCGGAAATTCGTTCCCGATGCCGTCGATCTGGCCACTATTAGTCGCGGAGAGATTTACAGGATCGATACCTTCTATTTGGAGTGTCAGAAGTACAGGGATCATTATCGTGACCCCTACGGCAAGGTGCATTGCCCGCCATTCTTCCACTTGCATAAGGGAAAGTGCGGAATCAAATTGGACCAGAGCCTGGCCCAGATGACACAGGCGATCGCTGGAAATGTGGACCGCCAGCCAATAGTGTTTCCCCTGATTCCGAACAAAAGCATGTTTTTGGGAGGCAGCATTCCAATGGGGTCACATACCTCCAAAATTGGCGTCACAAGCTACCTGAGATGACGTATTTGTACATGTTTTATAGCAATAACTTAATTATATGCTACAGATCCTTTTTCTAATTATTTTTGTGGCTTGGGCCTGTGAATAATCCTCCGTAAGCGTTTCATAAATTTTAGGTTTTTTATTTTCTAGGCTGGGAAAGCAGTTTCAATAAATAGCATTTTAAATACTTTGCGCCCTTTTATGCGTAGAACATACACATTCGTTTTAAATTTCTGGGTAACTTGATGTTAGCTGACACAAGGATTTGATATACAGTTTAATTAGCCTTTTACAAACGGCGTTTAAGCTAGTAAACACACTAAAAAGTCTTTCTGTGCACGGCTTTCTGACCCTCCTCCTCGTATTCCCGCTTCGAGATCCACATCTTCTTGAAAGTATCGAGCGAGGCCAAAATCGAGCCGCCCATCCATGTGGAGTAGAGACGTTCCTGGGGCGCAGCGATCTGGGGATATATATTAATGTGTTTTAGAAATCTCATAAAGAATTGTATTTGCTTAGCGATACTCACCCTGATCTTAAGATCCTTGGCCGAGTGCTTCTTCAGTTCGGACAGCAGGCGGTCGCCGAAACCCTTGAAGAGCGTAGATCCACCGGAGAGCACGATGTTCTGGTAGAGCATCTTCCTGAGATCCATATCCGACTTTTCGATGGAGTACATCAGAACGTCGTGGATGCCCTCGCACTCCTCGCCCAGCAGATCGGGCCGGAAAAGAACCTCCGGCGCCCTGAAGCGAGCAGGTCCAATCTCAAAGGTCTTGCCGTCGGGCAGCTTGTAGGCGAACTTCTCGGTCTCCACGGTCTCCTCCTTCTGCGGATTGGTGGCCAGATAGCAGACCTTCTCCTTGATGGAGCGCACAATCTCAAATTCGGCTGTCGACCGGAAGTTGAAGCCCTCCCGGCGGATGAGTGTCTTCAGGTAGCGCGTCACATCGCGCCCGGCGATGTCCACGCGCATAATACTGTGAGGCATGGCGAATCCCTCGTAGATGGGGACCGCATGCGTCACACCGTCGCCGGAGTCGAGCACCACGCCAGTTACGCGTCCGGTGGCATAGCTGCAAGTTTAGTGGTTAAGTTTGATAGTTGGAGTTCCTGGAACCGCGATGCTTACAGACTGAGCACCGCCTGCATGGAGACAAAGAGCGCAGGTGCATTGATGCCCTCGAAGAAGAACTCGGCTGCCTTTTCGCGATTGCGACGCGGATTGAGTGGTGCCTCGGTTAGCAGCACGGGGTGATCCTCCGTGAAGGTGGCTAGTTGTTCCTGGTTAAAACGATTTACTGTGTTAATTAGGGAATACTATCGATTAATGGCACCCTTACTTTGCTGTAAATGTAGCTCCATATCCGCTCCATGTCGTTCCAGTCGGTGACGATGCCGTGCTCCATGGGATACCGGATGCTGAGCAGACCACGGTGCTCCTCCGCCTTGGGTCCAACGAATATGTCGCCCTCCAGGGCGCCAGCCATCACGCGGACATGCTTGGGCCGGCCAATGCTGCAGGAGAAGGCGTTATATTTAAGGTTTTAACAGGAAATAAGAGTTTCCGGGCACTTACTAATTGGGAAACCTGCATTTTGGAATGTGCTCACCAGCAAAGCCGGCCTTGATCACACCGGAGCCCTGAAAAAAGTAAGGAATGTAACATTTAGTTTTTGTAAAATAGATTTAGTAATCTAAATTGCCAGCATGGAATCCTTCAGTGTGCCCGAGGTGGACATGATGACCGTGTCCAAGAACTCGCAATACGAGCGAGAGTCGCTCCTGAAGTTCTCGCCACCGGTGGGACTGACCAACATCAGCTACGGCGGCATGTACAAGGTGGACTCGTTCTACCTGGAGTGCCAGAAGTACCGCGACCAGTTCCGCGATCCCTACAACAAGCTGCTCCGCCCCAAGATGTTCCAAGCGTACAGGGGCAAGTGCGGCATTAAGATAGATCCCGAATTGGAGCGACTGAAGCGACCCGCTGGCTCGCATGTGGAGTCCATTCCGGTGGTCTATCCCATGGAGTACGGCCGGCAGATGGACTTCGACAGGGGCTTCCGGATGGAGGGACGCAACAGCAGGGAATCGGCCATCGCCCGCAGGTATCCCTGTGTGCGTGTGTTGGGCAGATAGATTTTCCCATCTAAATTGCAAGTTACTTCGGAAATAAACCTTTTAAATCTTTGGTCTCTGCCCAGTTCTTGTTTGTGGGATTAGTCATGTTGGCCATTTGAAGACGGCTTGAAAGTTCACTGACAAAGGGACGGGCGTAGGTGATGTCACTTTTTCAGCTGACCAAACTGCTGGAAAGCCGCGATTTGGCCAAGGGGTACTGGATTCCACTGCCCCCAGGTTCACTTACGTTATCTATGACGACGGGCTGGTTGACGACGACATCATAAGGCTCCATTTTGTGCGTTTTTCAAAATTTGCAAATTTTTTAATAGTTGGTCAACCGCTGGTGACCGTAGCTGGTTCGCAGAAATAAACCGCAGGTGAAAATGAGCCAAATAAGCCAATTTCAAAAGATTTCCTAAAAATGCCAGAGAAAAGTTTACATTTGACATGGTGGTCTGTGGTGTCAAATAGGCTCCTTTCCGCTGTGTATAGTTTCTTTAAAACAAAAAATAGGGGAAATATATAGAACAAAAGCTATTTAAAATTTAATTTTCAAGCTTTTGTGTACATGCTGCAGAATTTATTTACCAAAACAACTAAACCCTCAAATGTAAAATAAATATCCTACTCTACATTCTACATCTTTGGTATATTCAAGTTGCGGTATATTTCTTTGCTTTTCCTCCCACCCGTGGCATTTTACTAGGGTCACTGTGCGGTCCTACCAATCTCACTGAAATGGCCGAGGAGAATTTGGACAAAAAACCGGAGGTGAAACCTCCACCCGGATTAAAGGCCATCATAGACCACCTGGGCCAGGCGTACCCTGCTCAGCCCAACCCGCTGCAGGTGACCACGCTGCTCAAGTACTGGCTGGGTGGCCAGGATCCGCTGGACTACATCAGCATGTACAACTATCCCGGGGATGCGGATCGCAACATTCCGCCGCACTGGCACTACATCAGCTTCGGGCTGAGTGATCTGCACGGCGACGAGCGCGTCCATCTGCGCGAGGAGGGCGCCACTAGGTCCGGCATGGGATTCGAGCTGACCTTTCGGCTGGCCAAGACGGAGGCGGAACTAAAACAGCAGATCGAGAGCCCGGAGAAGCCCCAACGGCCGCCCACCTGGCCAGCGAACCTGCTGCAGGCCATCGGACGCTACTGCTTCCAGACGGGCAACGGCCTGTGCTTCGGCGACAACATCCCGTGGCGCAAGAGCCTCGACGGCAGCGCCACCTCCAAGTTGAACAGCCTGCTGGTGGCCCAGGATCCCCAGTTGGGCTGCATCGAGACGCCCACGGGCACGGTGGACTTTTGTCAGATCGTCGGCGTGTTTGAGACCGAACTGGAGCAAGCCTCCCGTTGGAATGGACGTGGAGTGCTTAATTTCCTCCGCCAGGATGTGCAGACTGGCGGCGATTGGCTGGTGACCAACATGGACCGCCCCATGAGCGTGTTCGAGCTGCTCCCCGAGACCCTGCTGAACCTGCAGGACGACCTGGAGAAGCAGGGCTCCGATCTGGCCGGCGTCAATGCGGAATTCACGTTCCGCGAACGCAAGCCCACCAGGCAGGTGAAGCAGGAGGTGGACTTCCAGGCGCTGAGCGAGAAGTGCGCCAACGAGGAGAACAACCGACCGCTGACGGAGACGCAGCAGCTGAAGCGCGAGGAGCCGAGCTTCCCGCAGTCCATGTCCATGAGCAGCAACTCGCTGCACAAGTCGTGTCCGCTGGACTTTCAGCCGCAGGCACCCAACTGCATCTCGCTGGACGGCATTGAGATTACCCTGGCACCCGGTGTGGCCAAGTACCTGCTGCTGGCCATCAAGGATCGCATCCGTCACGGCCGCCACTTCACCTTCAAGGCGCAGCACCTGGCGCTCACTTTGGTGGCGGAAAGCGTGACGGGTTCGGCGGTGACGCCTAGCGAACCCTACGGAGTACTGGGCTACTGGATCCAGGTGCTCATTCCGGACGAACTGGTGCCCCGGCTGATGGAGGACTTCCGCAGCGCGGGCCTAGACGAGAACTGCGAGCCCAAGCAGCGGTTGGAGCTGGAGTGGCCCGACAAGAATCTGAAGCTGATCATCGACCAGCCGGAGCCCCTGCTGCTGCCCAACGTGCTGCCCATGTCCCTCGACGCGGCTCCACTGAAAATGTGAAGCCGTCGAGCGCGTAGCTAGTATTATTTTAATTTAATCGAATTGAATCTTCCACTAACCAGTAAGTTTTACATTTATCTCATCTCTCCTAACACAATGAACGTGGCCTTTGCTCCCCGCCGGAGTCCAGTCAAAATATATAGTATAAAACCACTCGACGGGCCTTTGATACGCGCATGCAAAGAGGAAGCGCCGGCGCCAAGGAGCGAACAATTCGCCGGATGAGTTGAGTACAAGTTGGGGTCATCTTCTTTGGTGGCTGCGGCGGATATGGCCACTTGCCACCCAACTAAGCCATCAATTGATGGCACTGCGCAGTGCTTCAGTTTCTAATTCTGGGAATTGATCAATTAGCAGGAGGAGTATTCAATTTGAGCACAAAATCCCGCCCGTGATCATGTGATTTGCGTGGAACTGGAACTGGATGTGGACAAGCTGGGAAACCATCCTGGCCGTTGCCTAGGTGAATTTTTGTTTACCGCAGAGAACGCAATCGCTGCGGTTTCCGTCGCTCGGCTTCTCTGATTAGGCGCCTCAAGTGAGCGAGCGATTTTTTGCGAAAACGGCTCGTGGAAAATAATTCAGTTTTCTTCATTCCGCCGCCGACGACGCAAGCGCTCGGTTGTGTGCTCGCTCGAGAGGTCTCCACCCGCCCACTCATCACTCCTCGATTCGTTCGTTCGTTCGAGTGTCGTGCTGGCTTCCCGGAATCTTCAAGTGAATCGAACGCCTGCGACTGGAATTCCGGCTTACAAGTACGTAGGAAAGAGGGGCTCCAAGGAGCTACCCACCGGCGGTTGCATAAGGGCCAAGCCATCGACCGGTGACCTTCGATTTCGGCAGTGACCCCCGTGGGATTGGGTGCGTCGTCATCGAGCGGACACGTGCACGCCCGTGATAGCGCGAACTTCTGCGATAGCCGCCAAGAATGAAAAACGGTCGCAGTTCTTTATATTTTGGCCTGCGGTTCGCGTTACATTTGCTTTATTTTGGCTGCCCCGGGGCGGGAAAAAGAAAACGTTTGCAGAACAGACCGTTGCACCTCGAACCCCTCCAATCCCAAGTGCACTCGACAAGGGCATGCATAATCGAGAAATGCGACAAATTTCAGTTATCGCTTGTAATGCAATCTTTGTTCTGTCTTCTGCGCAGCTCAAAAATGCATTACAATGTTGCTGACCAGATATTCTGGGGGGAAATTAAATCGAGTGTGTTTCCACGAACACCTGGTGCTTGTAACCCGAAAGTTATATCTTTGAATATTAATTTGAGCCTCTTGGCTAATGAAACCCTAGATTGTTTTTGCGCTTTGTTTACTCAGCTCTGCAATCCGATCAGTCATTTGGAATGTGACTGTAATTAAGATAGACATAGGGGCAAAATTTAATACAGATAAAATATAATTACTTTTACTAATGGAAATATTTATCTACATTTTTTTAAAGGCTAAGTTTTTAAGTAAAGTTATATCCTTAAAAAAAAAAAAATTTTTTTTTTCTTGAGTTCTAGTTATTTTAAAACAAACTTTTTGATTTTTAAAGGTAATATAAATATGTATCTAAAAATGTAAAGGTTAAGTTAAATACAACTCATATCCTTAAAAACAATTATTTCATCTTATGAGAAATTTTTTTTAAAGTCCCTAGTCTTTTTAAAACAAACTTTTTGAATTTTAAACCATATATCAAGGTAAAGGCCCAACAAAAAAATCGATCATAAAAGGGCTTGTTTATTTTATGAACTTAACTACCCCTAAAAATTATCTGATGACAGTTGTACTTATCTCGCCTTTAGTTTCCAAAGTAACTTTCGCTAAGGTTCCTCTCCCTCGAGAACTAGTGTCCCCTTTGTCCCCCATTTAGTTGGATTCCGGATTGCCGACAATGTAAACTGCATTTTCATTTGCCGGAGGCGCAAATAGCGATAAACGTGTCCAAATATTTGGCTAGCCAATTCCGTCAGTCTGTGATTATTTTCCGGGATGGGGAAATGCGAGCGGCACTCGTATCTTTTCGGCAGTCAACAGCATATTTGGGTGCAATGTGGCTGACTGATTATGGAGTACCCCTGACACCCTATGTATACTTGCAGGCAGCACCCAACCGACACCAATCCTAACCAGCAGCCATGACGGAGAACGAGAATGAGCCGCTGAACGACCTGCATGGCCAGGTCAACGGTCGCATCCTGCCCGCCAATGGACACACCAACGGACTGGTTCATGCCAACGGAAAGGATTCGGGGAAGGCGCCTGCTCCGCTCCAGAACGGCAATGGGACACACATCGAGGCGCCCTGTTGTCGGGACATACACGGCAAGGAGCCGCCGGATGGTGGAGCCCGCGCCTGGTTGGTCATGGTGAGCGCCTTCCTCTGCAACGGAATCATCTTTGGATTCATCAACACATACGGCGTGATCCACTCGCTGCTGACGGAGCGGCTCACAAAGCTCGGGGATCCGGAGGCCTCCAGCAAGGCGGGTAAGTTTCTCCGTTACATCCCCTCAAGAAACCGACAGCAATTTGTCCATAATCCCATCAACCCCGCGGCAAATTAATTCGGAATTTATGGCGTTGATTGTAATTATGCAGGCAGGGCAAATGAGATTAGATGGGAACTGGGCAGTTGTTTTGCTGGCCACTATTTGTTTTTAGCACAAATCATATTTTGGTGGCCTTTGATTGCTGCTGCTGCCCGGGGGGCCTCTGACTTTGATTCGGAAAAAGCCTAGAAGCTAAGCCATAAAGTACAATTAAATTGCATTCCTCAAGATGCTCCATCTATATTGTAGATTATACTATCAACACTTGAAGTTACCTTGGAAATATAAGAGATATTTCTGATGTTTCCGAATTTCAATTTGATTAGGCAATGACGCACTTCGCAATGAATTGCCAAAACATTGAATATTACTTAAGAAAGTCTAGATTCAAATTTATACACGCTATTTCGAATCTAACGCCTCTGTTTCTCCCGCGGTCTTTTGGGTTCAATAAAACGTAGTAGTACGTAGTACGAAGTGACGATATAGGAATCCAACGTACCGACGTCAAGTGAATTAAATTGCTAAAAGTTGATTGGATCACAAAGCATTATTCAACAGCCTTCTTCGAGTGCGAAGAGCGCGACGTCGAGACTTGGGAGTCGCGTAGAGTTGGAGGAGGGTTCTCCATCTAAAGTGGATCAGTTTTTGGCAGCTCAACTTAACCAGCAGTAGAAGCAGTAGGCGAAGCCACTCCAAACCAGACGCAACTGCTTTGTTGAGACGAATGCAATTGCGAGCAGAGTTCACTGCATTTGCAACTGTTTGTCAAGGTTTTCAGCAGGCCGGCAATATTACGTATACGCCGCGTGGGCCGGCAGCGCATTGGGGGCACGGCCGGCGCTTTTAAGACGAGCTGGAGAACATAGCTGGCCGGCGAAAGACAAAAGCCACTGGCACCCGCCACTGACCCAGTTACTTGGTCGGCCGGCGCTGCCGGGGAAGCCCCTCAAGTGCTTCGCCTGACAGCGATCCTCCCCAGAGCTATAGGCTACATGCATCTAGGGCTAAGACCATAGCTTCAGCTAAGACTAGCTGACAGTTCCGCAATATGATTAAAACCTGACGTAATCCGAACCCGAGCTCTGTGTGCCATATTTTCCCCGCTTTTATCGCGGTGTCGATTCATCAATTAATTGTCAGCCTCTGTCAATTACACACCTCCATGGGCACATCACAGCGACTTAGTGGAGCTCAATAGGCACGGTCGGTGGCCCATTGGTTCATCCGTGTGGATCGGAGGTCAAGATCAATCATGCTGCCAGTCTTTGGCTTTAACTCCCATGCAATCCGCGTTGCAAGTTGCGTCAGATATTGCATGAGATCGCATCGGGTTGCCAGCTATGTATGAATATGAGAGGCGTACTAAAAATATTCCGATCTATTTTCGCCAGACGCCAGCGGTGCCATGTAATTCGGCAACGTTCCCTTCCGTTCGCAATTCTTTTTTAGATTTTTGGCACCGGGTATTACGGGTATTATCTAATGGCTCTCTCTTCGCATCTCTCTAGTCGGACTGCCATTGACTGGCTGCGAAGAGAGAATCGGCGTCTGTGGCATTGACATTGACTGCCTGCCGCTGGCCGAGATTGCGGGAGAATTGTACTGCGCATGTGGGGGAGAGTTACGTGCCATCTCACGGCCCCATTCCTCAGTTGGCCGTGTCTCGGCGAATGGTCGATAAATATCCATGAAGCGCCCAGAGTGGGTCATGTTCTATTTTCGATAAGAGCGATGCAATTTTATTATTATTTTATATATCACATATTTTATTACCTTTAAAGAGGGTATTTAATGTTCGCCAAAAGTATTCCCAGCCAAACTTTTGTGAAAGTGAATGGAAAAATATAAATATCTTCAGGTTAAAGGTCAAGGGAGGTTAGCTCCGGCTATTTATTAGCAACCCTCATGAATGGTATACGCAACGCTTTTGAGAAACCATCTCAAGCACTTCACAACGTAGATTGTGACAATAAATTCGGACTGACACGCGAGTTGAATCGAATGCTTATCTCTAGTTCCGGCGTACAATAATTGTTGATATTCCCCGCGATTGGCACTACTAAATCGCTTTGATTGTGGTGCCATAATCGAGCTATAAATACAGAGTAGTACTATTAAAATAATCTTAGTAGTTTAAATTTGAAAATATCTTTGGGCTTGTCGATCCGGGCTTTCTGAACTACAAAAAAATAATAGAAATAAGTTTAAATTTGTACAAAAATTAAATTAATTAAAAGTCCCCCCGGACTTTCATCCGGTACCTGCTTGGGTCCACTGTCCATCTCCCAGACAATGGACCAAAGTCGCTGGAGCTGCTGCAGCTGCACATCTGCCAGAGAGCCAGAGGCGCAGACCTTATCAGAGCATTAGATCATCTTGGCTGGCGGGGAACAAAGAATTGACCTGATTCTGTCAATCGAACATCAATTTGAAGTGCCAAAGTGGAACAAGCGAAAGTGTTTACGCAACAAAAACAATTGGATTCCCCCACTTCTAACCGCAGAGTTCAGCGGAAAATTATTGTCGACGAAAATCCAATCTTTAAACGGCAAGCGACAAAACGCGTAAAATCCTCGATCCCGCCAACCGCCAACGGATCGAATTTCCCGGTCGCAGTCGGGCATCCACATGGAAGTTGCAATGAAACACCTGGGACTGTGGCCAATATCCAGACATACCTTGGATCGCCTCACTTCACAATCGACCGCAAGTGTGTGAGATTCGATTTGTCAATTGAAATTGGTAATTGAAATTGATGGTCAGAAAGTTTTCGAAAAGAGTTGACTCATTTACTCCCTGATTTTTATGTGATAATTATTTTTCTTGCTTCCCTTAAATAATTAAAAAATATTCCTATTGAATACTCAGTAAATATTTCGGTACCTTCTCCTTTTATTTACTTTTCATTATAATTACCAAGACAGCATTATATTTCTTCAAGAGATTACAAGTCGTAAACATTGCATCGCATACAAATATTAGTATATTTATTTTAGGGGAATGAATAAAGGAATTTATTATTTCCATATATGATTTAAAATTAGGTCAAAATTTTAAAAGCTGTGCTTAAACACCTTAAACTAAGTGTCCATAAAGAATGTTGTTTTTATACAGCTTATTTTATTTGATTCCAAAAAATCTTCCAAGCGTATTTTAATCTTTAAAACAATATTATTTCAACGTTGCACCCTTCCTGCATTCCAGCTCTGATTGGGGCCCTGGCCATCGGCACCACATTCCTCTTCTCCACAATGGCCGGCTGCCTGACCGACAAGATTGGCCTGCGGCTGACCACATTCGCCGGCGGAGTCCTCTCCGCAGGAGGACTGCTGCTGTCCTCGTTCTGCACCGAGAACATCAGCGCTTTGTACTTCACCTACGGCATCATGTTTGGCCTGGGAGCAGCCCTCGCCTACACGCCCACTTTGGCCATTCTGGGCCATTACTTCAAGCGCTACCTGGGCAAGGTGAGTGGCTTCGTGACCGCCGGCTCCAGCGTTTTCACTGTGATACTGCCACCCTGTCTGGACAAGCTCCTGGCCGGCTATGGTCTGGAGGGAACACTGAGGGTAAGTAGAGTGAACAGCTCCATGATTCTTATCCACTAATTGCTTTTTTACTCTATCCAGATAATGAGCCTCGTGTCCGCCTTCATTATCGTCTGCTCCTTCGTTTACAAGCCACTGCATCCGCCACCGGAGCCGCCCAAGAAGAAGCCCGGCAGGTCGCGCCTCAATCTCTTCATGCGCTCCATAATAAATGTGGAGATCTGGAAGCGCAAGCGCTTCGTCATCTGGGCTCTCTGCGTGCCCCTTGCCCTTTTTGGATACTTTGTGCCCTATGTGCACATGATGCAGTTCGTGAAGACCACTTTTCCGGGCGAGGATGTCAACCTGCCGGTCATGTGCATCGGCATCACTTCCGGCATTGGACGCCTGATCTTCGGGGTTATTGCTGATATGCCGGGTGTAAACCGCATGTACCTGCAGCAACTGTCGCTGGTCTCCATTGGCGTGGTCACCCTGCTGCTGCCGCTGACCAACTCGTATGTGGTCCTCGTCTCGTTCACCCTGGTCATGGGACTCTTCGACGGCTGCTTCATCTCGCTGCTGGGTCCGATTGCCTACGAGATCTGCGGTCCTTCGGGAGCCACGCAGGCCATTGGCTTTCTGCTGGGCCTTAGCTCCATTCCGCTCACAGTGGGTCCACCAGTGGCAGGCATGATCTTCGACAGCACGAACTCCTACACCCTGCCCCTGATCCTCGCCGGACTGCCCCCACTGCTCGGCTCCTCGCTGCTATTCCTGATCAAGTGCGTTAAGGAGGAGGAGAACGGGGTCAGTGCGCCGCGAGCGGTGGTTATGGCCAACGGAGATATCGAGATAGCCGGCAACGGCCATTATCGGTCGGATGGTGAGTGTTTAATAGCTTTAATAACCATAAAAAAACATTTGTTTGGAAGTGTTTTAGCTTAAACCACATCCTTTCCTTTCTAAATCGAACATTAAAATCACAAAGCTCTGAGTAAACGGTCAATAAGCAGCCTTACAAAATGTGTTACTCATGAAAATTGCTATTATATTTTAATGAACACTCAATGCTGCTTAGAATACTAAAACCCTTTGGATAGTAATCATTAGACATCGGATTTTCGGTGAAATCGTTTTTTAAATACGATTTAAAATCACATTTGATTGGTTACAAATTTTATTTATTAAGTTATAATTAGATTTAGGCCAAACTTAATTGAGGTTTTTGTAACAAAATTTTAACCAATCAAATGTGGCTTTAAATTATATTAAAAAAAAGGATTTCACATAAAATCCGATGTCTAGTAATCTTAATTTTCACCGTGTTAGAAAATTAAATATCAAACCAAAGAGCTTGAATATGGAGGTTTTTTGGTAATGGCATAGTTGTGTATTTAATTCAAATCTTATTCTTTAATTCTTTAACTCATGGAAATTGTTAGTATATTTTAATGAACACTCAATGCTGCACAGAATATTAAAATCTTTGAGTAGTAACCATCAGAAAATTAAATATTAAAACAAAGAGCTTGAATATGAAATTTTTGTGTAAATGGTACAGTCGTGTATTTAATTCAAATCTTATTCTTTATCATTTCTTATCTTGCAGGCACCAAGTCCAGTGCACCGTTGATGGGTGCCACTAATGGTGTCAATGGAACCGGAGGAGCTGCCCCAACGATCCAGAGCAACGGACACCTGGACAATGGAACTGGTGCGTACCCCGACTCACCTTGGCCTAGCCCCAATCGCATCTCAGACTCCGCCGCCTGCGACCATCCCAGTAGCTCGCTTCACACTAACCCGGGTCCTAAGCTGCCCAGCTGCTCACACACTGCCCTGCTGGGCGGGGTCTCTGGCCCCAGCATGTCCCTGCCACTGACTGAAGACCCCAAGAGGCGTCGCTATAACTATTCCATATACTAACTCACACACTGCCTAGTTGCTAGTTGCTTTTGAAAACTTTCTGCTTCGCCTGCTGTAAACCCTCGCTTGGGTAATTTGCCTTCTTGGTGTGGAACGAGTTTGTAATCGAATAGCATGACTAAGACGCACTTCCGACCAGCCCACACTCCACATCCCACGTTTCTAACCCTGCACCTGCATCCCTTGCACCCGTACTTCCATTCCCATTGCTTTTTCCCATTCAATTGCTTTGTAGATCGTAAGCCTCATCGACTGGGACCTGCTGTAAATAAATGCCAGCTTATGTCGCATATATAACTCGCTGACTGTTTCGGAGTCATCGCATGGGCAGGCTCGAATCACTCGATCCGAAACCACATTCAACCGTTTTATCCTGTTCATATTTTTAGGGAAACTCGCCGTGCCCAACGGATCGGCGTCGTAGAGAGACAGTCGTCGCACTAACTCAAAATTCCACAAAACTTTCGAAACCAATTGAAAAGTTCTGCCATTTTCAGCTGTAATCTCGCCGTCAGAGCCCGCAGCTTAGCCAGCGCAAAATCGAGGTGTTCATTCGTTATATAAACCATAGCTATTTGCCCATTCATCGGATCGGTTGAGATGCCTGTGCGCTTCCTCTATCCTTCATACGTGCATAATATATTTAGGCTAAGGAGAATTTGCAAACCAAATAAAAGTAATATTTTAATTTTTAACAAATAGGAATCCAAACGTATAACTATTTGTCAACACGTGTTGGTCTACGGAAATTTATATATTTTTTTGGAGGTAATGTTGACTCATTATATTTAATAGGATTCCCCGGAACGTTTACTGATTGATTGTTGTTATCTGTAAATGGTTCAGTGGTTCTGTAGGAACTTAATTGAGGGGCTATTGTACCATTTATTAACCATACCGTAATGGAATATTTGTGTCACCGTATTGTACCACCTGCGATGTCGGGATACCGGCAGTTCAGAAGATTTGTTCGGTTATACAACGCAATAATCGGCACCCCCCAGATCGGAATCGATCAATGACGTAGTGGAGCGTCGTTGCCCAAATCGCATTCTTTAAGTGTTTGGCATGTCACCACTGGCCATTAGTCAAAATTATAGCTATTTGTATGCAGCCCGGACCCAATAAAAAACGGCGCGCTATGTGCGGTTCAATGAGTCTCTTTCTTTCGATGAGATCCAGCCAGGTCGACCGATGAGCACTACGCGTGACAACAGATCGATCGGTTCCCAAATCAGGCAGCACACGTCCGGCTTATAAAAAGTCGATTGACTGAAAATTGGCTAATCAAACTGTTGGCGCACTTCAAACCGATCGGTCGAAAATTGTTAGGAAACGGACTACAATTCGCGAAACGGAGAGCGGAATAACCAAGGATTTACCATGCTGACCTGGACCCTCTGGTGCGGATTACTGTTCCTGCTGTGGTTCTATTTTCTGTGGAGCAGGCGAAGATTTTACCTGCTGACTCTCAAGATTCCGGGTCCCCTTGGATATCCCATTCTGGGCATGGCCCACTGGCTGATGCGCAGGGAAGGTTGTATTTATGGATTATTCTCTCGATCGGAAGTATTAATTTTGGTGTCCGTGCGCAGATATCCTCAATGCTTTCGGCTGCTTTCTGGACAAGCACGGCCCGACCATCTTCTCGTGGCTTGGACCCATCCCCTTCATGATTGTCAGCGATCCCCAGGTGGTGCAGGACATCTTCACATCGCCTCACTGCGTGAACAAGGGTATTATTTACAAGGCCGTGGACGATGGAGCGGGCATTGGGCTATTCAGCTTGAAGGGTGTGTGTTTGGGACTGAGTATGGCAGTTACTTAAGTGTGGATTTGTGTAGATCCCCGATGGAGCATCCATCGCAAGCTGCTGAATCCCGCCTTTGGCCACAAGGTTTTGCTTAGCTTCCTGCCCGTTTTTAACCGAGAGACTGCAGTTTTGCTGGATAAACTCAAGCCATTGGAGGACGATGGAGAGAAGGATCTTGTTCCATTGCTGCAGAGCTTCACCCTTGGCATAGCCACACGTGAGTATAGAAAGTGTCAGAGGTTTATGGGTGGTAAACCCGACCTCTCTAGTGAAATCCTATGCAAAATATGGTACTGTACTAAGCTGAAACTGGTACTGTACCCCCCTAATCCAAATCCTGTTATCGCTACTGAAGAGTAAAGTAGATTCACTGAGGTGTTGCTGAAATCTCTTCAAGAATCATAGCGGATATTGGTTCAAAAAGATTTCTGTGACACCCCCGATAGAAGTATTAGGTCAAATAAAGAACGTTATGTTTTTTTTGAAATTGAATTAAACTTTTTGATCATACTTAGTAACATTTCCGCTCTAAATAGTATGCATACATATATGGAATGTGTTTATAAAAAATTAAAAAAAGATTTGATCAAGCTTTGTAATTATACAAATATTTATACCTGTTTTTGATACATTTTCGACCCAAACTTGAATACAACTTTTTCAATTTAAAGTGTTTAATGTTTAAATATCAGAAAATATAATTTATCATTAGAAACTACCATGGGCAGCGATGTCAAGGACGAGGAGAACTTCAGAAACAACTCTCTGCTGGGAAGATATCAATGGTGAGTGCTGACTTGGATTCGGACTGCTTCTATCCATTAATAGTATTTTGGAAACCATGACAGACATGTGCTTCTCGCCGTGGCTCAACAGCCGATTTTTTCGCCAGCTCGCAGGAAAAGAATCCCACTACTACCAGGCTAAGACGGAGATCCGCCAGTTCATCAGGAAGGTAAAAACAAAATAGTTTACCCTCTACGAAAAATTAATTAATCTTCAAAAACTTTCAGATCATTGAAAAAAAGTTGGCAGAAGGCGAAAGTGAGACAATACCTGCCACCCAATCCAAAGACAAGAATATATTTCTTAATCTCGCCACGGATTTGCTGAAACGGGGAGTGTTTACCTTGAAAAACGTTGAAGATGAGTCGAATATAATTGTTTTTGGAGCTTTTGAGACAACTGCCAATGCCGTGTACTACACGCTGATGTTGCTGGCCATGTTTCCCGAGTATCAGGAGAGGGCCTATGAGGAGATAAAAACCATATTCCCCAAGACCGGAGACTTCGATGTGAGCTACGCTGACACTCAGCAGATGGTGTATCTGGATCTGATCCTCAACGAATCAATGAGAGTTATACCCCCGGTTCCAGTTGTATCCCGACAAACGACGCACGACCTAAAGCTGTCCAACGGGATAGTGGTTCCCCAGGGGGTTCAGATCGCCATCGACATTTACCACATGCACAGAAGCAAAAAGATATGGGGCCCAGACGCAGAAACCTTTAATCCAGACCATTTCTTACCTCACAATATCCGGGAAAAACACCCCTACGCCTATATACCCTTCACCAAGGGAATCAGAAATTGCATAGGTAACTTTTGGGATTCCCTTTTTGGCAAAGATTTTAATTTTAGCATTTTTTGCCATTTTAGGTTGGCGATATGCCTTGATATCGGCCAAAGTAACACTAGCCAAGTTATTGAGGAATTATAGGTTTTCTACGAGTTTTCCGTTTAAAGATCTTTATTTTGTTGAAGATATAACTATGAAGCTGAAAACTGTGCCACTGCTGGAGCTCCAAAAGAGAAGTTGAAAATAAATTTTATACTATACAATAATATAATTAAGTTTAAAAGAAATTAGAATAATAAAGATTGTTGAATGTATACGCTCTGTAAACTCACTACATTTTTTAGGCCTTCTTAAGCTCAAATGGAATATGACAAGAATAATTTTAGCTTGCTCTATATCCTGAATTGCTGATAAAATTGTGATGACTGGCACAATGAAGAAAAATACAATTTTTAGGTTTTTGTTGATTATTGGTTAAGAATTAGGGTGTTTCGTAAAATAATTTTTATAATTTTTGATTTTTTAAACTGGTTTTGAATAGTAATAAATCTAGAAGATATATTATTTTAAAAATTGAACTATTTTCCGATCCTTTTTTTCTTGTGTATTTTCAATAATCGATTTAAGAAATACCAAAAATATACCACCGATAGGTTGAACAAGAAGAAGAGGAGCTGAGACGATAGATTGGACAAATGAAATCGATGTTTTAGCCGATGTTTTTCTAGAGCATAAACAAAAAAAACCGGCAAGGCAATGTCGCTTACGGATGTCTTGGAATTGAACAAAACGGAGTTGTTCGCGAAGATTCGCGATGGCTTGCCCGGTGTGCAGAGGACCCAGAACCTGCTGGACTGCAAGGACGACCTGCTGTTCGCCTGGGACGCCAAGGACAGCTGCCTGCTGGTGCGCAACTGGCGCTCCTCGCTGGCGGCCGAGGTGAATGTCCAGTTCCAGACCCTGATCCCCTCGAGCACGGTTGGCCTGGAGGTGGACCGCGTACTGGCCTCCAACGAGGGCTCGCTGGTGGCGCTCAGCGGACCCCGCGGCGTCACCATTCTGGAGCTGCCCCGACGATGGGGCGCCGATGGATACTACAAGGACGGCAAGGCCCGGATCACCTGCCGCACCTACGGCCTGGACACCCAGCTGTTCCTCAACAATCCGCACCTGGAGGTGCGCCAAGTGCGCTGGCATCCGCACTCCGTGTCGGACTCCACGCTGCTGGTGCTGCTCAACAACAACACCATTCGGGTGTACAACCACTCCAAGCTGCGCCACGTGTGGCAGGTGGGCCCCTCGGTCCTCCGCAGCGGGGCCAACAGCTCGCTCTGCGACTTCGGAGAGGTGGCCGTGGACTTTGACATCGCTCCCGCTGGAAAATCTCGTGACACAGAATCAGCAGCTTTTGGGGAAACCGAAACCACTCTGGATAAGAGCAACAAAACCCTAATGGCGGCCAAGTCGCAGCCAAAGCAGGAGCGGATCGAGTGGCCCGTGGTGGTGCTGCGCGAGAATGGAAACATATACATTTTGATGACCGGCCTGGACTCGGAAAAGACGCGTCTCCAGGGACCCATCACCATAACGCCCCAGGCGCGGGACAACTATGGCCTGGAGTCGTGTGCGCTCATGATTATCCCCTCGCTGCCGCCAACTCTAGTTATTGCCGAGTCCAACGGAAAGCTTCATCATGCGCTGCTCATGGAAGCCGAGGCCGCCGAGCATTCCTTCAACGAGGTGGACGACTTTGTGCTCATCGAGCCAGCTGAATATGTTATCCATGTGCTAGAAACTGTGGAACTAGAGCTGGGACTGACTGCCTCTGGAGCGGCAGAAGGAGGAGGAGCATCCTACAATTGTCCAGTTTATCTGAAGCGCGACCTGATCAACGAACTGCGCTACTTTGCCTACCACAACGCGGGCCTCCATGCGGTCACCGTGAACTTTATCTCTGAGCTGCAGCGTTACCTGGACAGCGAGTCCGAAGAGGACAGACTTGAGCTGGCGGCCTCTTCGCGTGCCGAATACATTCTGTGCACCAAATTCGACTCCAGTGATTCCGTGAACGCAGTCTTTGGACTAGCACTGCTGCAAGTTCCCGCCGGAGTGGTTATTCTACTGGGCAGCGGACAGGTTATCAGTCTGAAGCTGGTAATAGATGCTCAGCTCTTGGTGACACCCAATGAGAATAGGCAGGCTAACGCGGATGTGTCGCAGCAGGAGAGTGGACCAACTTTTGTGGACACCATTAAGTCACTGCTTCAGCGCAATGTGAACCAGCCCATCCTGGCGGATAAACTTTCCTCGCCTTCTGCGCAGGAGAGCTATGAACTTTTAAACCAGGCCATCGAGGTGCTCCGCGAACAGTACCTTAAACGACACGACCTCGTGCGCGCCGCCTTCGCGCGACACATTAACCAGATGCAGCTGAAGAAGGAGCAACAGAAGCAGGAGATCCAGGATCTGGAGAAGGAGCGCGAACTGATCAGCGAGCGGGCTCACAAGCTGGCCGAACGCTTCGAGGAGATCAGCTACAATCAGGAGCTGCTCGTGCGCAAGTGCAACGTTCTGATGCAGCGGGCCAATGCCGCACTGCCAAATAGTGTGGTGGCCGAGCGGGAGTTTTCGCTGGAGGTGGCTCGTCTTAACAAGGTTACCCAGAGCATGGCCGCTGGTTTGGAGGGCGCCAAGAAGACGCTGAACAAGCAGCGCTACCACATTGCCAAGAGCCAGGAAGACCTCAAGAAGAATGCTTACGAGCTGCCGGAGAAGCAGCACCGAACAATCACCGAGATACTCACCCAACTAACTGGCGAGATCGACCGCCAGATCACTGACGTCAAGCGCATAAACAAAATCGTTGGCGTTTAAAATCGGATTGAAAACTAGCACACTGTTATGATTTCGCCACGTTTTTGTTGATTGTAAAGCCGTTGCGTAGAACTAAAACGTATTTATAATAAACATGTCGATTAAGTCCTATATTCGGTGGCAGTTTTCTTTTCGTATTCTATGTCATGTTAATGGGCATACGTCAGAGGTGTCTGCCAGACGTTCCTCCAAGCAGAGACCGCCAAAAACATTGTATTTCACAAGAATCTAATACAGTAAAATCACTAATTAGACAACTAGTCCATTATATAAATATCAGTTTAAATCCGATTAGTAAACAATATTGTGTTGGAAAATATGTCATTTGTAATATATTTTGAAAGATGAAAATTCTTAAAACAGATCATTGATCTATTGATAAATCCGATCTGTAAACCAGATTAAGTTTGTTGGAAATTTCGTATTTTCTAACATATTTTGAAAGATGCAAATTCTTTCATTGATCTATTAAGGATATCATTTCATTAGATTGGATTTCAATTCAAGAATTTCGTCTTTAAATCTATTCTGAAAAAACCAAAACTCTTGCCGTTTTTTAGTAGTTTTTTTACTGTATTTAGTTTTTTAAATGTCGCACTTCGATCGTTTACTCATTCTGCCTCTCTTTAAAACTGAACCACTTGAAAACGCAATGGAAAAAACATTTGCAAGGCTAATGACATTTACCCCAAGTCTGTAGGGTTTCGGTGGCTTTTGCGTTTCAGCGGCAGTCTGAATCGAAGTTCGGCGGACGAGAGATGACTTTGATCCTACTGGCCGCCCTCTCCACCATCTACGACGGGATGTTTAACTACGTGAAGGCCAAATTCCCGTTCGTGATCGAGGCCGCCATGGTTACTCTGTGCTTTGGCTCCATCGTGGGTCGATTTTGCATACTGGCCTAGGAGAAAACTCAGAGGACTCGGAGGAACTTTTTATTTATGTATATATGGATGTGTCTTGTGGCTTTATGTGAATACAAACTAATGGCTTAGACCTAAACCTGCGGCTTCTCTATCAGGTGGATGTAGAAGGCGGGATTCTTCACCTGGCTCATCTCCTTGAAGTCGCCATACAACTGGTGCTGGGCCTTCTGAGAGAAGATCTCGCCGAGGATCTCCCGGAAGCGCTTCAGCTCGTGGGGGTAGTAGGACAGGCGGAACTCGCTGGTCAGCTTGTTGCCAGCGATCAGGTAGTCCATGGACACCAGGGATGGCTTGCCGCAGTAGAAGAGCACCGACGTCTTGATGTCCGCCGTGTGACTCGTCTGCAATTAGTCGCAAGTCATCATTGGATTAATTGAATCAAGAGTCGTGTAACTGATAAGGCGAACGATGATGATGATGTTTCAGAGTGGGCGAAAGATCTGATCTGGGTTCAAAAACACGATCATTTGCGCTTATCTCTACGATGATGCGACAACATTTGGCTTCTCTAAATGGAATGTGGCTTTTAATAGTTTTTAATTAACGAGATGATGTGGCAAAATGATGATCTGACACATATAATATTTAGTATGAATGGCAGGAATAGATGATTCGATTTTTCAGATTGATTTCATAGAATTCAAATTCAATTCTTAATAATCCAAAAATCCAAAGAAATAGTCATAAGAGGAAGTATTATTACAGGATACTTACATTGTAGTAAATGCTCTTGGCAGGCGTGGCTCCCGTTTCCAGGATATTGTCGTAGTTGCGATGATCGATCAGCAGAACTCCTCCAGGCTTGAGACACTTTTCGAAATTACCGATAGCCTGCTTGTGTTCCCGCTGATCCCCGAAACCGTCCATCAAATGGGCAAAGGAGTTGCCCAGGCAGATCACAGCATCGAAACCATCCTGAATGTGGTCCTGGATGTCGTCGTACAGAGTCAACCAGTTGGCCTCCTCAATCACTAAAAGGATTTTGCAAGATTATTAGCATTTTGATAAGGATATTGGCCTTTTGTAGACTAACCCCAATTATCAAAGGCGGCTTCCTTGCGGCGAGCCCAGCGTTCCTTGAGGGCGTACTTCAACATCTTATCAGAGGCATCCACGGACACAACCTCGAAGCCCTCCTCCACAAGCATCAGGGAGTCGACACTGGAAAAAAACCAAAGGAATAAATTATCAACTTGACTAAAATATATTCTAAAAGAGCTCCACGAATTCGATATAAACATTCAGATGCACAAAAAAAAAAAATTAAATTAATCAATATAATTGTTAAACAGTCCCCAACCACAAAAATTGTCAATTCTACCAATTAAATAGTTACTTTTACAACAAAAAACGCCCAAAGTAAAAACAAAATACACGTAACTATTTTTTATAGTTACGTAACTATCCGTATAGGTCAACTTTACCAATCAAATTTTTCTGTGTGTAGTTCATTCTATCAGCAACTTAAAGATAAAGGGAATACAAGCTTATTAAATTTGCAATCTAATTTAAATATGACAATTGAATTTTTAATCTGATTAAAATTTATTTTCAAAAGAGCAAGACGAAAGTAAAACGTTGATTCTAAAATTTAGAAAGCTGAATGGATTTTTCTTCGTGACTTACCCCGTTCCACAGGCAACGTCCAGGACACGCTTACAACCCTTGTTGCGCAGCATGTCGATCAGGAAGTTCTTGTAGTTGTCCGTGCGCGAGTTCTTGTCCCCGATGAAGATCTCCCACACCTTGGCGGCCTTGCCGTCGGCATACTGGTCCCGGACTCCTTCGGCGGAGATGCCATCGGATCGGGCAACGAAGACACTGTCGGCGGAGGTGGTCATCTTTGGTGGTCAGCTCTGGTCGGCGGATCGCAGCTTAATAATTTGCTGTTCCCCAATCGCGTTCCACGTTGACTTTCCGGGGATTCGGAAGCCAACAGCTGGCGCTCCCTAAAGTGCCGTCGTGGGCCGCATAGCAGTCCGTAATCTTATCAGTCCCGCCCACTTGACGTGTGACCCATGGGCGGGATGACGACGAGAGCTCCAACATCTGTTCCCTGCGAAACGTGTTCTCGCCGGCGGGCTTTCGCTTTTGTGTCTCGCCCCTGACCCTGACCCTCCGGTTGTGATTAGGAGTCAGCGATCGCATCCCGTGGTCAAAACAGAATGACGGAGCGAAATATTTAAGCATGTCGGTCAGTTTACAGTGAATTCTGGGATCAAATATGTGTACACATGATATATTAAAGTATGCAATTCTTTCTTGTACTTGGTACCATGACTAGGGCTTACTATGGTTTACTATGGTTTGCTATGGTTTACTACGCTTTACTATGGTTTGTATAGTTTGTATGGTATGCACAATGTACACCCAAATAAAATCGATATGAAACGTAGATTGATTTTACAATATTTAAGATCAATTTTAATTTGATATGAGGCAATATAAATTTGACCTCGTCGAAAAGAGTATTTCATGTATAAACGATATGGGTTTAGCATGACCTGATATTCACATGGCCATATCGATTTTTTTTTTTTTTGTATATTATTTACATCATTTACCTTTTTTGTATTTTTGTCATTAGTGCGTTTAAAATCGAACTAAATCTTTAAGTTCTAAGTTTCCTTTAAAAATGGCTAGACCGATAAGTTATAATGTTATAATATATATAACCACTCTGAGCATATGGGTAGCATTTCGAAACTATTTCATGATTGAGTCATGATAAGAGTTAAAGAATATTATATTGTCTTCGTTATTACCAGTACTCACTGTATCACCAGTATCGTATGAGCTCAATGAATCTTATATTTTCCTTGAATTTCCCAAATCACTGTTTACTACAAAACAAAACTCGCTGAATCATGCGCCCCATTTGCAAAACACATTTCCAGAAGATGACACTTTCATTTGAGTATAATAAAAAATAGTTTTTATTTCTAATATTAGTTATAAATATTGCACTGCTTTAAATAATTGGGTCTTGTATTTTCCCAAATGATTGGTCTTCATATTGCACCTCGATTTCTACGGATTGGATCTTAGAGATAAAGTCACACTGGATGTTCTATAGGAGGTACTTAGAGCTACATATGATTACGTTTCACAAGATAATTAATCATCGAAATGAAAAGCGCGACAATTGTCTTGGGAAACATAAGCCGTACGGGGATGTTTAGGATTATGCGTATATAGGTATATCCTTTAAGTGGTAGTCTTATGAGCTATGTACATCCATCCTGGTCTATGGCAAGTACCCCAGCGAGTCCTCCAGGGAGGCGCTGACCGCCCGCATCGACTGATAGCTGCCCATGCGGCTCCTGCTGGCGCTGCTGCGAATGGAGGCGGCCTTGGCCTCCATGGCCTTGAGGTTGGCCAGCAGGTTGTCGGCGCTTCCTCCGCCCGCTCCTCCCAATCCCATTCCCATGCTCTTGCTTAGGGGCATTGGCAGAGGTGGCAGTCCTCCTCCTCCTCCTCCTCCACCCAGGCGATCCGTGCTGAAGGACTCACGGGTGCGGTACGAGGATCTCCTGGAGGAGGCGTGCGATCGGCAGCTTCCGTTGCCCACCCGTGATCCTGGACCCTTCGGCGGACACAGGCTCTTGATGTCCGTCGTCTGGCTGAGCTTCATGTCCGCGAACACCGCCGCCGCCTCCACGCTCTTCTTCACGCTGAGTGCCTCGTGTGGCTGCACCGGCTGTCCGCTGCCGTTGATGTTGAAGAGCTCGTAGTCCAGGCCCAGCTTCTCCGAGGACTTGCCCTTGCCTCGCGTTGCTCCAGCTCCAGCTGCGTTTCCTGGCCGGGATTTGCGCTGCTGCTGCGACAGCGAGTCCTCGCTGATGGCCGCCGCTGCCGAGGATCGCTGACGGCGATGGGTGCGCTTGCAGTAGCACTTGCTGGCACTAACACAGCTGTCCGAGTCGCAGGACGTGGTGGTCTCCGTGTGCGAATTCTGGGCCGAGTCCCGCTCCATCGAACTGGCCGGCTCCTCCTCCACCATGGAGCAGTAGCACTTGTCGTCGGAGCGGCAAGAGATCAGCGAGTGACGGTTGGTGCCGGTACTTCCGCCCACATTTTGGGCACTGGGCTTCCGGGTGGGCGTGGCCAGGGCCATGTTGCGCTCGTTCTTCTGGCGCAGCTTGTGGTTGAGGTGCTCCGTGCGCAGGCTGCAGTAGCAGCGATCAGCGGAGGCACAGGCACAGGACTCGGAGTCGTAACTGCACTCCGAGCAGGACACGTAGCTATGGGATATCGAAAAAGGAATTAGTAAGTCTCGGGAAAATAAGAGAAACCGGGAATTTTTGTTGAAAAACGCATTGATACACGGAGAAAAAAAGACCAAAAATAGTCATCAATCGGGTGATTTGATATTTCCGAACATATGATTTTGTGAAACAATATCAATTCCATATTTTTCCGTTTTTTTTTGTGTGTATGAAACTTGAACCCTTTTTAAACTTAAGTCTTGATAAATTAAATCAAATATTGAATATTAAACTCAATATTTAATTCAATATTTTTACTTTGTTAATAAAGTTTAAAGTTAGTTATATTTTAATATATATGCCTTAAAAAGGATAAGCTTAAACGAAATTTAAAAGTTGAATTCTCTATATTTTCGATGTTCAGATAACGCTAATAATGTCTTGAGTTAGGGAGCTTCATCGGTATGTGTTTATTTAGAAAATCACAAAAGTTTTGATTTTAAGGTCCTTATAAATATTATCATTTAATATACATACCCACTGCTGCTGTTTCGGTTGAGTCCTTGGGTGTTGTCATTCCGGACAACCGAGACATCGGACCCACTGGTGGCCGCCCTATTCCGCTGGTGCTGCTGCTGGGCGTGGCAGTGGGTGATGGGCGGTCCAATGATGATGGGGGCACTGATGGTGCGCTTGGTTTTGCTGTCCAGGGTGGACTCCTTAACCGCCGGCTTGGTTAACTTGCCGCGGCACGAGCGGAACTGCCCGAGTTGAAAGACCTTCTTCAGGCTCTTGGTGCCGAAAAAGCTGCCCTTGGTCTTTTTCTAAAAGAAGAAATAGTAATATAATAATATTGTAAGGGGTTCATGACTTAATGACCCACCTGCGATCCATTCACACTAGCCTTGCGCTTCTGTTTCACCTTCTTCTGGCGCCTCATGATGTTCTTGGAGCGCTGGAAGAGCTCGTCCTGGGTGAGCGTGACGGCCAGCTTGAGCAGGAACTCCTTGTAGATGGGCTTCAGGTCGTTGAAGGACATGCCGTCGGCATCGATGATGGCGTACAGGATGTCGTCCAGCGAGTGGAGGTTCTCGTGCAGGCGAAATTCGTTAAACAGTTCGCTGAAACCAAGTGGGGAACTAGAAGCACAATTCAAGCGATGCCAATCAACCAGGCCAAACCTTCTCCCCCGAATTGCAAAAAGACTGCCGCCCGTGCCCCGGGGTCAGATGCAGTGGTTGGTTGCACCTGCCCCCCGGTTCGGTGGCAATACTCACCCTCCTCCGCCGCCGCCTCCGCCGCCCAGTTTGCCGGAATGACGTCTCGCCGCCCGCGATTTGTAGCGAGTCAGTCCGCCGGTGTTGAGGAAGCTGCCGGATCTGGGAATGGCCACCCGCGTGAGGATGTCTCCGTTGGCGGGAGCCACATCGCCACAGCCCGCTGATAATTCTGATCCTGGCAAGGGTTTCTTGCCGGGATGACCGTTTTGGTGCAGCCGGGTCACGTGACCATTGCCGCACACTATGCTGCCACTTCGAGTGGCCACTCCTCCTCCGTTCCTCTGACCTCCCGAACCAGGAACCGTGGTGGGAACCGGAGGAGCCCGCTTCGACTTGTGTGACTTGCGCCTGCGCTCCTCCGTCGAGGTCTCCAGTTCGGCAGTCTCGTTGATGACATTGCTGTGCGAGCTCAGCGAGCTATTGGACACCCGCTTCTTGCGTCCGGATCGCGATGGAGCTCCTCCGCCGCAGGTGCTGCCCCGGAAGGAGCTGCGCCGCCCACAGGCACTGTGCGGCATTATCTGGGAGCGGGACAGATAGTTGGAGCTGGCCAGCGCCGAGCTGCTGGCGATGCTAATGCAGCTGACCCCGTTCTGCTGGCGCGGAGCCCTCCGCTGGGTGTTCCGCCGCGAACTGGTGCTCACGTGGGCCATTAGGCTCTGGTAGAGCGTCGCGGCAATCACGATGGCGTCCTCGGTGCTCTTGCAAATGAACCCGTGGCACTCGAGCAACTTGGGCGAACTGGCCGAGCGCATGACCACCGCGAAGATGGGTGCGTGGACATGAATGCTGTGCTCCACCGCCAGCTTCTCGCTGGAGCTGCAAATATAGCATTAAAAATTATTTAAAAATTAATTAAAATAATCCTTTAAGATATCCAACTTACCTCAGTGGCTGAAACAGGGCAGTCTTGTCAATGTTCTCTGGATCGGTGATCAGGGGTAGAAAGGCGGCGCCTCCATCATCATCCGAAATGACGAACTTGACCGCCGACCAAACGGCAATGTTGTGAAAGGGCGTGATGAGGGCCTCGTTCTCCTCCGGAACACCCGCTCCATTTGAGATGGCCAAGGCACTAACCTTCACCCTCAATCCGGTGGCACAGATGTCCAGAGAACCAGAGTTGAGCTTTTGCTAAATAAACAGAAGGAATATCTAATAACTCCCATCTTAGAGTATCCAATCCATTCTTGTACTACCTTCTTGATTACCTCACTGAGGTACAGCTGCCGCAGCGGCTCTTGGAGACCCTGCAGACTGGTCACCTTGTCCTTGAGTGGCAGCGATCCCAGGCAGGTGACTTCGAAGCTGCTCGTCGCATCCTTGGCCACGTCCGTGAAGAGCTGCTCGATCTGGGCCTGCACACTGTTGCTGA